GGAACTCCAGTTATTGTGAAGAGACCGGTATTAGTAATGGGCGATTCGATTATTAAAAACATAGATAACTGGGTATACAATGACCAGGAGAACCGCATGGTGATTTGCTTGCCTGGTGCGAAGGTTGCAGATCTCTCAAGACATCTAGATAGACTTACATGTAGTGCTGGAGAGGAGCAAGTGGTCGTGGTACATGTAGGTCTAGTGACATAGGGAAGGATAAGAGAGGGGCCCTAGAGGCCAAATTTAGGCTGCTAAGTAAGAAAATGAATGCTCCATGGAGCATTCTCTGAAATGCTTCCAGTTCCATGTGCAGGGCCAGTCAGGCAGAACTGCAGGGTCTCAATGCGTGGATGAGACGATGGTGTATGGAGGAGGGGTTTAGATTTATTAGGAACTGGGAAACTTTTGGGAAAGGGGGAGCCTATACAGGAAAGATGGGCTCCACCTAAACCAAAATGGAACCAGCTTGCTGGTGCTTAAAATTAAAAAGGTCATAGAGCAGTTTTTAAACTAAGGGCTTGGGGAAAGCCGACAGGTGCAGAGGAGTATTTGGTTTGGACAGAGACATCCCTCTGGGGAGGATCTATAAATGGAGATTTCCTATGTTCTAATAAGGAGGAGAGGATGGAAGATGATAAAATACAGGTAAGATCTGATGAGACACAGTCAAAAGAAAAAAAGTTCCATTCAATTACATCATGTAATGGCAGACAGCTAAAAGGTGACAAGTTTTTTAAGTGCTTATATACCAATGCTAGAAGTCTAAATAATAAGATTGGTGACCTAGAGGGTCTCATATTAAATGAGGAAATTGATAAAAAAGGCATCACAGAAACTTGGTGGAATGAGGATAATCAATGGGACACAGTAATACCAGGGTACAAAATATATCGGAAGGACAGAACAGGTCGTGCTGGTGGGGGAGTGGCACTATACGTAAAAGAAAGCATAGAATCAAATGAAGTAAAAATCTTAAATGAACCAAATTGTACCATAGAATCTCTATGGATAGTAATTCCATGCTTGAATAATAAGAATATAGCTGTAGGGATCTATTACCAACCACCTAACCAGGATGGTGATAGTGACTGTGAAATACTCAGGGAGATTAGAGACACTATTTAAAAAAACCTTCAGTAACAATGGGGGATTTCAACTATCCCCATATTAACTGGGTACATATCACCTCAGGAAGGGATGCAGAGATAAAGGTTCTTGACACCTTAAATGACTGCTTCTGGGAGCAGCTAGTCCTGGAACCCACAAGAGCAGAGGCGATTCTTGATTTAGTCCTAAGTGGAGCACAGGATCAGGTCCAAGAGGTGAATATAGCTGGATCGCTTGGTAATAGTGACCATAATATAATTAAATTTAACATCCCTGTAGTGGAGAAAATAGCACAGCAGCCCAACACTGTAGCATTTAATTTCAGAAAGGGGAACTACACAAAAATGAGGAAGCTAGTTAAACAGAAATTAAAAAGTACAGCACCAAAAGTAAAATTTCTGCAAGCCGCATGGAAACTTTTTAGACACCATAATAGAGGCTCAACTTAAACGTATACCCCAAATTAAAAAACATAGTAAGAGAGCCAAAAAAGAGCCACCATGGCTAAACAACAAAGTAAAAGAAGCAGTGAGAGGCAAAAAGGCACCCTTTAAAAAGGGGAAGTTAAATCCTAATGAGGAAAATAGAAAGGAGCATAAACACTGGCAAATGAAGAGTCGAATACAATTAGGAAGGCCAAAAAAGAATCTGAAAAAAGCTAGCCAAAGACTCAAAAAGGAGTAGCAAAAAATTTTTTTAAGTACATCAGAAGCGGGAAGCCTGCTAAACAAACAGTGGGGCCACTGGATGATTGGGATGCTAAAGGAGCACTCAAGACAAAAAGGCCATTGCAGAGAAACTAAATGAATTCTTTGCATCGGTCTTCACTGCTGAGGATGTGAGGGAGATTCCCAAACCAGAGCCATTCTTTTTAGGTGACAAATCTGAGGAACTGTCCCAGATTGTGGTGTCATTAGAGGAGGTTTTGGAACAAACTGATAAACTAAACAGTAATAAGTCACCAGGACCAGATGGTATTCACCCAAGAGTTCTGAAGGAACTCAAATGTGAAATTGCAGAACAACTAACTGTGGTTTGTAACCTATCATTTTAATCAGCTTCTGTACCAAATGACTGGAGGATAACTAATGTGACATCAGTTTTTAAAAAGGGCTCCAGAGGTGACCCCGGCAATTACAGGCCGGTAAGCCTGACTTCAGTACTGGGCAAACTGGTTGAAACTATAGTAAAGAACAAAATTGTCAGACACACAGATGAACGTAATTTGTTGGGAAATAGTCAACATGGTTTTTGTAAAGGGAAATCATGCCTTGCCAATCTACTAGAATTCTTTGAGGGGGGTCAGCAAACATGTAGACAAGGGGGATCCAGTGGATATAGTGTATTTAGATTTTTAGAAAGCCTTTGACAAGGTCCTTCACCAAAGGCTCTTAAGCAAAGTAAGCTATCATGGGATAAGAGGGAAGGTTCTCTCAGTGATTGGTAACTGGTTAAAAGATAGGAAACGAAGGGCAGGAATAAATGATCAGTTTTCAGAATGGAGAGAGGTAAATAGTGGTGTCCCCCAGGGGTCTGTACAGGGACCAGTCCTATTCAACATATTCATAAATGATCTAGAAAAAGGGGTAAACAGTGAGGTGGCAAAATTTGCAGATGATACAAAACTGCTCAAGATAGTTAAGAAAGTGTTATTTACTCCTTCTCATTACACCAGTCCTAGGGGCCACCAAATGAAATTAATAGGCAGCAGGTTTAAAACAAACAAAAGGAAGTATTTTTTCACACAACACACAGTCAACCTGTGGAACTCCTTGTCAGAGGACGTTGTGAAGGCCAAGACTACAACAGGGTTCAAAAAAGAACTAGATAAATTCATGGAGGACAGGTCCATCAATGGCTATTAACCAGGATGAGCAGGGATGGTGTCCCTAATCTCTGCAGTTTCCACGGTATACATCTGATGAAGTGAGCTGTAGCTCACGAAAGCTCATGCTCAAATAAATTGGTTAGTCTCTAAGGTGCTACAAGTACTCCTTTTCTTTTTGCGAATACAGACTAACACGGCTGTTACTCTGAAACCATCCCTAATCTCTGTTTGCCGGAAGCTGGGAGTGGGCGGTGGGGGATGGATCACTTGATGTTGCCTGTTCTGTTTGTTTCCTCTGGGGCACCTGGAGTTGGCCACTGTGGGAGGACAGGATGCTGGGCATGACGGACCTTTGGTCTGACCCAGGATGGCCGTTCTTAGTTTGATTTCTGTGGCCTCAGAGAAGGGCACATGATTTGGTCCAGTAATAATTCAATCAGAGATAGTACTATTTCTTTGAACAGTATGGAGACAGAAGGAATTTGCCAATGATTTGGGGGGATATAAATACGTAGAGGAGTGGACACTGCTTGGAAGTATAGTTGTTCATTGAATATATTAAGCATTAAGCAGAAAAAATAAAATCATACTTACTGTGTACAGTAGCCTCAGTCTCAAAAGGACCTATATATATTGGGGCAAGTTCTTGTCTGATCAACTGCTATGAGACTGTGATGCTAACACACGGATTACTAAATGTTACAAAGACAATATTTATTAGGGCTTAAGGGAGTTAGGAGTTATAACTACAGCAACACAGCTAAAATTCATTAAGTGTAAGCAAGCCAGGAAGGGCATTTTGGACATTCTAGTGCCAAGAGAAATAGTAGCAGTTCTACTGCTTGAGGTTTAAAACTATACTGCAGCTTCCAATCCTGCACTGGCAGGGACATAGACTAGAAGAGCTAAGTATTTTTTTCCAGTTTTAGTTTTGATAATTCCATGTCCATATTAATTAAAATATCCTACTGTATACATTACTCTTCTGAAAAGAAATCCAGTTCACTACGCTTTGCTCCACCTCAACATATTGCAAGAAACATGGAACTGGAAAAAGCTGGCTTTACATGAAAAGAGAGTATAACAGCGTTTCTTACCAAAAAGCTCCACCAGACAGGCCTAATGCAGGTTAAGCACTGCCGCCTTGTGGTTAAATATATACACTCACACGACATTCAATTCTGGGATGAGACTGAATCTAGTTTGCAGATTTCTAACCCTGTTGTTCCCAGGTTATTACAGAGACAATGGGGATGAGGGGAGTATCTTTTACTGCCTAGATCACTTCATCAGTGAGCTGTAGCTCACGAAAGCTTATGCTCAAATAAATTTGTTAGTCTCTAGGGTGCCACAAGTCCTCCTGTTCTTTTTAAGTACAGTAGGTGGCAACAACCCCGCTAACTCCAACCCTGCAATGAGCTTTCTTCTTTTTTTATTTAAAAAAAAAACAAAACTTTTTTGCTCTACTTTAGCAGGTTCTTTCTCAGCTCAGGAATGAATTGATCATTTGGAAATATTTTTAGGCGAAACGGTTGAGTAGTTTTCAAAAACGAAGAGAGAGAACTAAGTTCTTCAAGTTTGTGGGGCACTTGGCTGCTCTGGCCACGGGGGAACTGGAGAAATAATGGGGCACGGAAAAGCCTATGAATTAAATAATCAAATGCACTGCACGGAGCAGTCACTGGGCCAGGCCACGGGAAGTAGCTGCAGGCAAAGGCCCGGACCCTGCAATGGGCTCCACGTGCTTTGGCTCCCCCCGGGCCTTGGGGACAGTCTGTCTCCCGCCACCGCCATCATAAAACCGCTAAGAAAGCGCAGATTCAAATTCCAGCCCCCGCACACGCACACAGAGGACTACGGTACGGAACCAACGGCCACAGGTCGCCGCTACCGCACGGGAAGGGGCGTGGCCATTCACGCTTCAGTCTCCGCGAAGAACCGCGTCGCCCGCCAACTCGGTCCCGCCACTCAGCGCCCGGCTTTGCCGTTCGCGCGCCAGCCCCCCCCTGCCCAATGGGACTCAGGCTTCCGTGGGCGGGGAAAAGGCGAAAGGTCAGGGCGCCCTCCCGGAAGTGGAGGCGCGGGCGTCACTTCCTGCCTTTCTCTTAGACTCCAGCGGGTGCACGTGCGGCCCTGCGAGTAATTTTTGTTTTTACCGCTGCCTTGCGCCAGGCCGCGTTACCATGGTGAGGGGGGGCGCCGCCGCCGCGACGGGGAGGGGTTGGGGGGGTGGCGGCGACGGGGGCGCCCTGGGGCGGAGGAGGGGCGGGGCGGTAGGTAACGGGGTGTCCGTGCGGGATCCGGGCCGCTCGCCCTGACCCCGCTGGTGTGGTGACTTGTGCCCCGCAGAGCTTGCCCCTGAACCCCAAGCCCTTCCTGAACGGGCTGACGGGGAAGCCGGTGATGGTGAAGCTGAAGTGGGGGATGGAGTACAAGGGCTACCTGGTGTCTGTTGACGGCTACATGAACATGCAGGTCAGTGGGAGCCGGGACGCGGCGGCCCCGGGGAGGCCCCAAGGGCTGTGGGAGATCCGCTCCCCTAGGGCAGCCTGGGCTGTTCAGGAGGGACGGGGGGCCCCAGAGCTGGAGGGGGCTGGGTCAAAGCTGGGTGCGTGTCAGGGCTCAGAGGGGCCCAGAGGTGGGTGGTGTGTGCGTCTGTCTGTGTATCACGGTGGTTCAGAGGGGATGGCGGGTCCCACAGGTGCGGGCGGGTCAGGATTATTCAGGGGAGTGATTTGATTCAGGATATCAAATAAGTCATCTGACAGGTAGGTAGGGAGCCCACTGCTCCTGTTCTGCTTAGCCCTGTGAGGAGCTACCCACTCCTGCAGTGCAGGGCAGCGCAGCAGCAGCAGTAGCCTTGTCCAAGATGAAGGTATGATTGGATTGAGAATTTATGAAAAGGGCTATACAAGAACTGATAAGTAGTAGCAGTAATTACTTCTTTGAAGCCTGATGGCAAACATATGTTTTAATTTCCTCAAAAGTACACTTACAGGAAGTTTAGTTTGTAGACTAGTTCTAAAGCAATAGGCAATACTTGGCTATATATTACATACTTCTGGTCACATTTCTAAATGAAAAGCAAAACATAATAAGCTACATGCATAATAAAATGAAGTGTTCTAATGAGGTACAAGTTACTATTGAACAGACCCAGTCTCCAAAAGGGCCCATTAACCCTTGTAGAATGACTTTAGCCTTACAATAGTTTACTACTTGCTGGCTGAGAATTTTTTTCAAACAATTGTGCTAATATTTTCTTTCTTTTCTAAAAGCTTGCAAACACAGAAGAATACATAGATGGTGCATTGTCAGGACACCTTGGTGAAGTTTTGATAAGGTAATTATCAAATTGGAGTATTTTGTAAATTACATAGTAGACATATTACATTTGTAGATGGACATAACTGTTCAACTCCTAATACTCAACCTAAAGCAATCTGAAAATGTGCAATGTTAAAGACATTAACAAAGCGTTGTCAGGGACTGTTTAGCATAGAAATAGATATTACAATTAAAGGATTACACTAAAAAACTATATTATCGGGGGTGGGGGAAGTAACACTAAAACTCACAAATGTTTCATAATTTCTCCTTTTGTAATGATGTCTTTCATTGGTTCTCTGGGTTCTTGTTGGATATTTATAAGAATCTTTTGTCACTAGCTGAGGAAAATCTCACTACTAATATCAGGAAGTTAAATAGGCACTGAACAGTTTCACAGCAATCAGCAGGTGGCAGAGACTCCAGAGTGCGTGTGTGGCAGGGAGGAATTTCAACAGAGTACTAATAAACTATTACATATGTATTAAGGCCCGGCTCCTGCAAACACTCTTGTGCTTGAAGTTAAGCATGAGCATAAGTTTATAGGCTCTGGGCCTAAAAATAAATTAGCTTAATGTACAATGAATCTGTCATTCTTTAAATAACTTATTTTCTCTGTTATAATGGACAGTTACAAAATGAACCATCTGGAAAGCTCTTGGACTGTGGGATCACAATCAACATATGTTAATAGGTTGGCCTGCTAAACTTGATATTTGGAGGGTTTTTTAAGTAGCTGGTCCAAGTTCAATTTGGAAAACACATAACTTAGTTAAAAGCTAGTGTTCATCTGGGGAAAGCCAGAACAATAACATCTTTAAAATTAAGAGAACTTCTGGTTCTGTTTACAGATGTAACAATGTCCTGTACATAAGAGGAGTAGAAGAAGAAGAAGAAGATGGAGAAATGAGAGAATAAGTTTGTATATTTCTGGAAAATAAAGATCAGTTTTTCACAACTTTTGTTAAGGAGTCTGAAGTTTTACTGTACAAATTTATATAAAATTTGTTACTTTTTGTTTAGTGTATTCTCGTATGGACGGAAACTTTTAACTGTATAAAACCATCTAATTTAAAGTCAAACTTTTTAAAGGTTGTTGCAAGATTAATGCTAGAGGAAATCTTTCAGTCTGAAATAGAAATAAGATTACATAGCTGATAGGATGAAATGACATTTTAAAATACTAATATGTGTACTACTTTTATTTTATTCTTAAAGGTGAACTCTTGCATCTAAGTGGCTTCCCATGGTAAATTTTATTTTTAAAGTTGTGCATATCAACCGGATCGTGATATATCACTTTATGTAGCAACGGGTGTCCTATCTCTTTCGTTGCACTGCAGTCATATTATAGAGCAGCTCAAAAGTCGGTGAGGATTTTTTTACTGTTGCAAACAGCTTGTCTTTCTAAGCTAACTACACTGGAGTATACTGAAGAAGTTGTGGGAATGGCATTTTTCTCTGTTGATAGTGGTAATAGGTGTTACAGAACAAGCAGTGAAGAGATTCTGGGCTTTTTCACATTAGATATACAAAGTAGGTTTTCTACTTATAGTAAGGATCCCTTAATAACTCCTTTTTGTTAGTAAGTTCTGTTAAACTACAGTACAGAATATTAATTTTTGCTCTAGATGAACTAAGTAGGAAGAAAAAGCTACAGCACTGTAAAACTACCTTTAAGGAGGTACAACTACTTTTAAACTCAAGTGAAAAATAACAAGTCGTCTTGCGTTTTTGTGTTGTTCTCTTTCGGGCACACCTCCTTCCGTCTAATCTCTGGAGGCTGTGAGCGAAATACCAGTTTTCTTCCCATCTGAAATGTTGGAAAAGGAAAATGTTGAACACAAACATTTACGTCTATGGAGACTCATATTTTCTATTAAGCCTATATAGGACTGCATTGTGAAATACTTTCACAGTTCTATATTGGGGGAAGAGTTGCATTATGCCCCAATGATTCCAAGAGTCATTTTTGCCCTGAAATAGTCAAAGCTGCCTGAAGTATGACTGCTCTATTACCTATAGAGAAAATATGGCCTCAGTGGCTGGATGGGTGACACAATGGAGATAATCCTCAGCTGTTGTACATTTGCATAGTTCCATTGAAGTCAATGGAGCTATGGCAATTTACACTAGGTGAGGATCTGTCCCAAGGTCTCTTGCTATGTGTAGGTCTGGCACATCATAGCCTTAGTTTGGTTTATAACGTGCAGATTCTTGCTTAAGAATATAAGTGGACTTTAAAATTTAAAAAGAATAAAACTATGTTAGTTGATTAGTTTATTTAAAAAAAAAAAAGTCCTCAACCCTTGCCTGCGCATCTGGGCTGAAGTTCACAGCTGCTTTGCTGTTATCACCAGCTGAAGACCATGACCCTTCTGAGGCTGTGATGGCACATTACATCTAAGAGTTTAAACCCCTATGGATTTAGTTCAGAAAGGCGAAGTACAAACCAGAACTAAACAGCTGGAGGTGTTAGGGGTGTATGAACAAGAATTAGTAGAGGAGAGAAGGGTGTGTGAATGCACGACTGTCAGAAACTGGAGCACATAAGAGGCTATAAGCACCAGCTACTTGCAGGAATGAGAATCTTGAGTGGCTCAGGGCTGGGATGGCTCCTTCCCATGGCACTAGCATCAGTATGTGGCACTTACTGCCTTCTCTTTGTTGTGGCAGTATGCTGCCTTTTATTCTACCATTTATACATGAGTTAATGAATCATTTCCTAGCCTGGATCCCAGCCTGCGGCTATGGAAAGGCTCCCTTCCCCACTCTGGAAGAAGCACCTCTGATGAAGTGAGCTATAGCTCACGAAAGCTTATGCTCAAATAAACTGGTTAGTCTCTAAGGTGGCACAAGTACTCCTTTTGTTTTTGCGAATACAGACTAACATGGCTGTTACTCTGAAACCTCCCAATTCTAGTTTGTTAGCAGGCCTGACAATACTGCTGTTACCAAGATTAGAGGTAGAGAACAGAGAGAAATTGGAATCTACCACCACCACTTTTCAAAACTTGTATTAATCTACACTCTGCAAAAGACTAAAGACACCCAGCTTTAACAATATTATGTGTGTCTGAAAGTTTTACCTGCTTTTGTTATATGCCACCTAAAACAACTCACTGAAACATTAGAAATTACCTGTTCTTCAGTTTACTCTAATAACTTGCACTGCTTCTGGCACAGTCAATCAATTAAGACTGGAGCTTACAAACAAATATATGAATCATTTTACTTGTGGGTGTTACCCATGTACACGAGCATTTGCAGTACCTTAGCTTGCTCCGTGAAACTCATTTTTCAAAATAGAAAAACATGCATAAGTAGAGCACTCACAGCTATTTCACCTGCCTAATTTGAAAAACAAGACTATGCTTCAAATTGTGTGTCTCTGAGGTTGAGATAAAATCAGACAGACAATCTGGAAACTGCACAAGTTTTTACATATTTATTAATAGAGGGCCACATTAAATTCTCACACAACCCTGACAACATAAAACTGTATAACACAGTGAAAATTAATTACTTATATAATCTTAGATGTGTAATTAGTGTTACTGCATTTACTTCATTATATAATTAAGATGTACCTTAACATATACAGTCAGAGGGAAGAAATAAGGTTGAGGTGATAATGTTCACTCAGTTTTCTGATTTTACCCTGTTTTTTGGCTGTAATTGAACAGTTGCATAATTCATTCTACATTTACAGGCCTACTCAGTTTGAATAATGATGCTAGCAGAATGCAGAGTAGTACTAGCATCCAGAAAATATGAAGCAGATAGTATTGTACATTTTATATATTGTAGTTGAGGCCATGGAAACAGTTCAAGTATGCTCTTGAAATGTGAATTCTCTGCTGATTTCTAACTGCTAATGATGTGACCTCTTAATTAAATAAAAGGACCTTGAACTGGATTATACTTTAAATTTCCCTCAACCAGCTTCAAGTAGTATTTTACTGAAATATTCAATTAGTTACTATTCAAAATAAGGGCTAGATATTTTCAGTTACTCCACTAATTGGTTGCTGGCATATTTTAGTGCTTTATAATTGAGTTTTCACCAAATACTAGTTAGCTCTTATTCTAAAAGGCCTGTCTGATGTCAAATAAGTTATAGTGGATTAATTATTTTTAGTGATCATCTACTACTGCAAATTTTGTAAATTTATTTACTGAATAGACTAATGATCAGTAGTGTTTTATGTTTTAGTCATAACTACATGCAAATTTCTCTCCTGCATAGGAAAAGTAAAGCTAATACTAATATTTAACTTTAAAAGTGCTATAAGGGGACAGGATTTTTCTTAAGAAAAATACACGTGGTCTCAGACTTTTCAGAAAAAATAAACTAAATGCAAACCTTCTTCTTTGGTGCTGCAGTTGCTCTTTTCAGAGAACACTGCAGTCGTTCTTCCTGAAGTTTCATTTCTTGTCTCTTTTTTTCTTCACGTAATCTGCAGTGGCGAAAAATAAAATTTGCTAGTGACTCCTAAGGTATTGATAGGAACAAAAAGGTCTGAAACTTTAACACAAACTCTTTTTGCTTCTTTAAATTTAATTTTGGAGGCAACAAACAGTAGTTTTGAAATAGTAGTTAATTATCTTGGTTCAAGGAAGGTGTTTTCCTGAACTACCAGCAAAATGACTAAGGAGAATGAAGTGGGGCAGGTTTGCAGATTAGAATTTTTAAAAATAATCTGGGATCCTATATAGCTGCTTGTTTTTTTTTACTAGAGTAATATTACTGTTTTAGATGTCACATGGGATGATCTGTTCAGGAATTTGATGGAAGCAAAGTTTATTTCTTATAAAAGAGCATCATGTCTAACTTGCAGAGCAGGGGAGAAGGAAATGGTATCATGATGTTATTTCCACATAAGGCAGTCATTGTCTTTAAATTTTTTGTCCTCTTTAAGACTTTTTTTTAAACCATACTCTTGTACTATGATTACATCAGCTCTCACAAGCTATACGATGTTGGTCCTAATCAGCATTCAGATGGGATACTTCTAAACAACAACTCTATGACATAGAAAGTGTTTTGACAGGACGAGACTCTCCTCTCTCTCCATATAAATCGAACTAATGCCACAGACCGGTGAGAAGCGGTATTGTGCTGCTGGAATTGTTGCTTTTGGAGACAAGTGGTGAGCACCTTCAAATTCTCATGGCACGTTTTTGAAAAACAGAAATTAGCCAAACACTGACCTAGCCAAAGCCGAGCTTGGATAATCACACTGACATTCCAAAAGTAGTGCACTGTTAGATAGTTGCCATATTCTACCCCAGAAATGACTATACATATGTATAACTAATAGGTCCCAAACACTTTAGGAACTATTGCTGAAATCATTTTATCCAGTTCTAGGGTGGAACATGGTAGCAGTTTCACAGTGCACAGTGACATTATTTAGGTTGAACAGGAAGCATATACTAACATATCCTCTTGAAACTGCAAGGTATGTCGGAAGGGGATGGGAAGGCAGTAGGCAGATACAATACAGTTAACCAAATTGGGCTTTGGTCAGAACTAGCTAACTTTCTTTCACATCTTTCATAACGGGGTACAAAATCTTTATCACATGTGCTCAGGTGTGGGGTTTTATGTCTTCTTTGAAAGATGGCACATCCATCCAAAAGTACAATCTGTCCCTTCACATCATGCTGGGGTGTGAATTTAGTAATTACTCAGAATAAAGAATGGCCTTCCAGCTACATTACTGTCCTGTTTTTTTCAGGCATACTTTTTTGATGCTGTATGCTTTATTTATTCTTTTCTGTGGTGGGTGTACAGTAGACTGCAAACTGTAAGTTACCAAATGTACGATATGAGGAAAAAACAAAGAGGCTTTACAAAATTCTGGTCACACTAATGTAGCTAATGCATAAAAAGTTTTGTATACTATTTAAGTAGCTCATATACTGATAAAACCCATAAGGGGGCAGTACAGTATAACTATTCACTATATTAGACATTACATCATAGTGTTAATGCAAAAGTGTCAATTAAAAACAGGATGGTGGCTTTGCAACAATGCAGTGGAATCCTTAATTATTGCTAAAAAAAAACAAAAAACCCAAACAAACCTAATGAACCCAACTCACTTCACAACAGGCTGCCATGTAGAGAGAATCAAAGCTCAAGCCCCACATTTAGGCTCTGATCCTGCAAACCCCTATTCATGTCCATGAAGAAGTTCTTAAGTTACCAGGAATGGTCAGGCAACCTCTCTCCTCAAAAGAGCAAACCAACTTTTGAAAAAACTGAAACCATTTGAAAAAATTACCACAGTAACAAAATGAGCTACTGGAGGTAAACTACCTGCATTACATCAGATACGTTTGTTCTGAATTTTCATACAAAACTCCTTAAATTTGTAATAATTTTTTGGTGACTAGACATGACTGTCAAGGTTGGAACATAATACGCCTGCCAGGTGTTTTATCTCTGTTTTTGCTGGGTAATTTAACACAAGGACAAAGCATGCTGTAACTGCCTTGACATTTATTTAACTTTGGAATTCAGCTAAAACAGATGCCAGTTTCTTTTCCCAGAAAGCTACTGCTTTATGGCACCTTGTGGAATCACACAATAGCAGTAGCTTTATTAATTGTCATATTATCTATGCTCCCACAACCCAAATCAGTGCAACTGGCACTGCTGTGATCACTGCACGAATACTGTGTCTTGTTTTGGTGTACACATTTAAAGAAGGATGTTGAAAAATTGGAGAGGGTTCAGAGAAGAGCCCTGAGAATGCTTAAAGGATTAAAAATCATGCCTTACAGCAATAGACTCAAGGAGCTCAATCTATTTAGCTTAACAAAGAGAAGGTTAAGGGGTGATTTGATTACTTGGTATATGTATCTGAATGGAAAACAAATAGTTAATAATGAGCTCTTCAGTCTAGCAGAGAAAGGTATAACATGATCCAATGGCTGGAAGTGGAAGCTAGACAAATGCAGACTGGAAATAAGATTACATTTTTAACAATGAGAGTAATTTACAATTGGAACAACTTACCAAGGGTCATGGTGGAGTCTCTATCGCTGACAATTTTAAAATCAAAATTTGATGTTTTTCTAAAAGATCTGCTCTAGGAATTATTTTGGGGAAGTTCTATGGCTTGTGTTATAGGAGGTCAAACTAGATGATCACAATAGTCCCTTCTGGGCTTGGAATCTATGTGGCTAGTTTCTCAACAAAATGGGACCACTCGTGTGTGTTGGCAGGATCAGCAGGGCCTTAGTCCCTTGCTTTTGTGAAAGTAGTGCAGCAAAGGTAACATGCTCAGCCCCTCTCATCAGGAAAGGAATCTCTGCCTTACAAAGCCAGCTTTCCTGCTGATTCATGGCAAGGAGCATATCTCCTCCGAATCCCTTCCTCTTGTGCTGAGAGGTCTGATGCATGCTAAAGGTAGAAACTGCCACCTTCTTCTACTAGAAGAAAAATTAGTGCACCAGGGACCCTATGGCAGTTTAGAACAAGTCGGAGCTTTGGGACTTGAAGGATGCTTCCAGCTGCAAAGAAAAATCTGTTATTTGGAAAAGCCAAACTTTGTTTTTATGTGTGATGTTTTGAACATGGTTGACATGCCCTAATTTTAAATGAGCTGTTGATGTCCCAGAATAGATATCCAGCACCATGCAGCTGGGGAGTAGCCATATCTCCGCTTTGTTGTTTTTGTAATAGATCAACTAAAAGCAACTCCTAGTCCTGAAACGTTTAAATGTGTCCTTGTTTCAACAGATACATCTGGTGTACTGACAGAAAAGAAAAACCTTTTAGCTACTTGTATTTTTATTGTAATATTCATACAAAATGTCAACTATGATATTCCAATATACCACAGTATAAATATTTAACTCATGATTGAACTTCCCTAACATAAAACAAAAGCATTTTTATTATATAACAAAACAAGTGTAGACCTGTTTCTGCACCAAAAGTAGAAAAAATAATTCCAGAAACGCTTAGAACATAAAAATATAATTGGGGCCTTTTATGAGATCAGTGTTGTATTCAAATTTCTGAGGGTTTTTGTACATTAAACAGTTTCTTTTATGTTTTTTGAAAAACTTGTGTGTGATATCACATTAAATGAACTGTTTTTCTGACCTGTGGTAAACCCAGCTTTGAAATATAGTGACATCCAAAGGAGGAGCATTTGGCAAGATGTTTGCTCCCCTGAGAACTCCAACTCATACTATCTCACTGGCACTATCTCTTTAAAAAAAAGTAACAGGAAAAACAGGAAGAAAAAATTGCCCAATCCATTTGTTTCCATTGGAACATAGCTGTACAAATATAGTACCTCCAGATAACAAATAATAGGCTACTGAGGACCAACCAGACACTCCCATGTACAATAGGGCAAAAAGTTGAACTATAGTGGATTGTTAGTGACTATAACCTGATGGTGTTCCTCTGTCATATTATCACTATAACACATGGGTTAGGGTCTGGCTCCCTACTCCCATTGACCTCATTCCCTGGTTGTTTCTCTCTATTGTTCTAAGACTAGACTGCCCATCAAGTCATACGTTTTTGTCCATTTAATAAAAGTAAAAACATCTCAGTTTGCTAAACCCAATAACCACTGGTTGAGATTAGACACCATACGAGTCCTTCATATCCCATGCTCAGAGGTGCATTAAGGTTTCCGGGGGCCCTGGGCCAGAGCACGTGGGGGGCAAAAATGGAACATGATGATGAGCCCACACTATCCAGCTGGAGCGCACCACTCCCTTCTCCTAATAGCACATGCACGCTCCGCAGGTGCTGACTTTCCAAAGTGCTGGGGGGGGGGGGGAGAGGGGGTGCATGCATGAGTGAGAGAGAGAGATGTGCATTGCCCCTTTAAGTACGCTGACTGCACTTTAAGTACGTTGCCCTTTTAAGCATGTCAGTTCAGACAGGAAGCAACAGTTTCCAGCAAGCTCCCTCTGTTCTGTCCCTGAGCCCTGTCCCCCTCCTCTGCTTTATGGAGAGGGGGTACGGAGCGGGGTGGGGGGGCAGGAGGAGGGGGACATCCTGATATCAGCACCCCTCTCCACCCCCCCACCCCCCGCCAACTCCCAGCAAGCCGGAAGCTCCAGGGAGCAGCTCCAAGGCAAAGGGCAGGGCAGGAGCAACACATGACAGTCGGGGGAGGGATAGCTGAACCGCTGCTGGGCAGCTGCTGAGTCACAGGACCTGACAGGGGATTTCGGGGAGCTGATGAGGGGGGGAGGGCTCCTGGCCCCCCCCCGGTTCTAATCTCCACGAGGAGGGGCTGCTCTTCCAGAGAATCCTGCAGGCAGTGGACAAAGCAGGCAACTGCCAAACAACGTTATAAGGGAGCACTGCACAACTTTAAACGAGCTAGTTCCCTCATAGATCAGCGATGTAACAACGAAACAACAACATTAACTGGGACAATGTTAAGTGAGGAGTTACTGTATTGAACATTCACTTTACCTTTGCCTTCTTTCTTTCATCTTAATTTTCTCAATTGCTTCAATATTTTCTTTTGGAACTGACTCCAACAATTCACACAGTTCTTCAATTCGATTCTCTATTCTTCTCAACATCTGAATGGAGCTAATGCTTGATGCGTCTACTTCTCCAACACTAACTCTGTACACTTCTGCAACCTTTTTAGTAAGTGAATGTAGCATTTTGTCCTTAGATTAAACACAAAAAAATCTGTAAGAGCCTATAAAATATTGCATGAGTGATATTTGAATATAATAGCATTTCTGTAAATTCCTTAAAGCAACAGACAATATACACATGTATTTACTATCAATGTGACAGTCACATGTAATCACATCAATAGGAGGACGATGTTTGTGTTATGTGAATGGTGAAAAAACAGAAGCAGTTTAACCTTATGAAAAACAACAAATATGCAGCCATGGAATTCAAGGAAATTCCACCTTAGCGTTTTGGTGATAAATACCTCAGTCTATTCTTTCCTGAGCTACGGCCCTAATTCAGCAAAGTACTTACGTACATGCATACATGTGTGTCAATGGGACTTTTCACATGCTTACAGCTGGGCACGTGTTTAAGTCCCTGGCTGAACTGTGCCCCCTAAGGGGCAGCCCAGGGATCACCTGCAGCAGCGACAGTAAGGTAAACTATAATTTATCCTGTTTACACAAGGATTTTATAACTTGTTATCTATCAGGTGAAATCTACCTCATTACAAACACCTGTCTTTTTTTCTGGTGTAGACATGGCCTTGGACCCAAGAAGTGGGTTTCTTTCACAAGAGATAAGCAGTGACAGCGTCATAGTGGAATACCAGCTCTGCTACAGTTAAGGTTCAGACCAGCTTTCTGTTTAAAGGCAGACTCTAAAATCCGCAGTTACTCAGATTGCCCTGAAATATGATGTGCCTTATGGGGGCATGGGTTAGTGATCCAAATTTAGGGTCACTGGACCAAGGGCTTCCTGAGACATAGTGCCCTCCTCCCTCCCCCCACAAAAAACACAACAGCTTTTCTTAAGGTTGACATCTTTTACCAACTTTTTTTGTTTTTTTGCCCAGTCTGAGAGATTAAACCATGGCTCTGAGCCTGGCCAAAATGATCTCAATCACCGGACATTTATGTCAGCTGGTGCATGGCATCCACTAACCTTTGTTAGCAAAATTGAAAACAGTAGTGTCAAGATAGTTAAGTTTCAAGTTAGGCACATGCCTAATACGCGGGAACTAAATGGATTACTTGGAGCATGCATGAACATAACAACCAACAGGGTTTCTAGTGTGTCTGTTTTCACTGCAGGTGGGTCCCTCAATGGGATCTACAGCACCCAGTGAACCTGACTTCCAGCCAGTGTCAGTTTGAGCCCAACCTCGGGCAGAAATCTAAGAAAGAATTTAGCACCGTGCCTTCAGATGTAGCTTTGTTGTGTGTGTCAGGGCTGAATCCTCACTCTGTCACTCTGAGTGCAGGAAGTGGGGACCCACAAGGATTTTAAAAATTAATAGTTGCCACTCCAGGCTTGTATTAAACTCCCAAGGTTACGGCTTTTCTCTGACCTTGGCTTGGTAAACGCTGCCACCACCACCCAAATGAAAAAAAAAAAACCCTCTGAACCCAGGAAGGAGCACTTGGGAATTCCTCCCTGTGGGGTACCCTCAAGCTCTTTCACGCCCCCTCCAGGGAAGAGCTGAGAAAGAAAACAAAGGAAATTAGCTGTGGCTATCAACTAATCAACCAATATGCACAAACCTCTTAGGACACCAAAAATCCAATCCCGTTCTTAAAAAAGGTAAATTTTATTAAAAACAAAAAAGGGAAAAATACATCTGGAACTTAGGCTTTTTGCTAGATCTTAAAAGAAACAATTACAAAAATTAAGCACCCAAAACAGCTTTCTTGGGGGTTCAGCTTAAAGGTTAGAATCATAGACTATCAGGGTTGGAAGGGACCTCAGGAGGTCATCTAGTCCAACTCCCTGCTCAAAGCAGGACCTAATCCCCAACTAAATCATCCCAGCCAGGGCTTTTTCAAGCCTGACCTTAAAAAACCTCTAAGGAAGGAGATTCCACCACCTCCCTATGTAACCCATTCCAGTGCTTCACCACCCTCCTAGTGAAAAAGTTTTTCCTAATATCCAACCTAAACGTCCCCCACTGCAACTTGAGACCATTACTCCTTGTTCTATCATCTGGTACCCCTAGATCCATCCTCTCTGGAACCCCCTTTCAGGTAGTTGAAGGCTACTATCAAATCCCCCATCATTCTTCTCTTTTGCAGACTAAATAATCCCAGTTCCCTCAGCCTCTCCTCGTAAGTCATGTGGTCCAGCCAGGGCCGTCCCTAGCTATTCTGGGGTCCTACGCAGCCCCCCCAGAGGGGGTGGGGGCAGGCCTCCAGTGGGGGGGGGTTGGCTTGGGGGACGGGGGAAACCCCCCCCCAGCACTCACCGGCGGCATAGCTGGGGCCAGTCTGCACTTCTCATTGCCAGTGAGTGCAGGCCTGGCCCTGCTGCAGTCCTCAGGGGACTGGAGGCGGGGCTGGGGCAGAGCAGGGGTGGGAAGAGGCAGGGCTCGGGCGGAGCAGGGGCTGGAGCAGCATGCAGCTGTGTAGGGTACCTTTCCTGGTGCCCTACTCAACTGTGTACTTTGCATATGGGTGAGGACAGCCTTGGCTCCAGCCCCCTAATAATTTTTGTTGCACTCCACTGGACTTCTTCCAGTTTTTCCACATCCTTCATGTAGTGTGGGGCCCAAAACTGGACACAGTACTCCAGATGAGGCCTCACCAATGCCAAGTAGAGGGGAATGATCCCTCTATCTGCTGGCAATGCTCCTACTTATACAGCCCAAAATGCCGTTAGCCTTCTTGGCAACAAGGGCACACTGTTGACTCATATCCAACTTCTCATCCACTGTAACCCTTAGGTCCTTTTCTGCAGAACTGCTGCCTAGCCACTCAGTCCCTAGTCTGTAGCCATGCATGGGATTCTTTCTTCCTAAGTGCAGGACTCTGCACTTGTCCTTGTTGAACCTCATCAGATTTCTTTTGGCCCAATCCTCTAATTTGTCTAGGGCCCTCTGTATCCTATCCCTACCCTCCAGCATATCTACCTCTCCTCCCAGTTTAGTGTCATCTGCAAACTTGCTGAGGGTGCAGTCCACGCCATCCTCCAGATCATTAATGACAATATTGAACAAAAGCATCTGGGGTTAGCACAAAGGAGATCCACAAGCCAAGATGAGAAATAAACCTGATTGCGTCTAGCTAAACATTATGATCTACTTACACATTTGGAGTTCAGATAAGTAGTTCTAGACATGATCTGATGATTTATGATCACACCTGGCTTAAGCTGCTTACAGCATTGCTGCTCTGTCCCTCCAGCCCAGAGAGAACAGACAAAGGGAATGTTTCTTTCCCAAATTTAAAAGTTCAAGCCCTCCCATTGTCTCTTTCCGTCAGGTGCCCATTCCTTTTCTTTTACCTGTAGGCTTGTTAACCCTTTACAGGTAAAGCAAGCAGAGAACAGATGCCAAGAGGGATTTTACAGCTAACTGGCTGGCTGGCTGTTCTTAAAGGGGGGCTACCCCCCCTTCATTTATTACAGTGTGTGTTATTTTGGGACAATGTAATGAAATATGAGAACGCTTGCTAGGAGGGAAGTAATATTGCGGGGTGGAAGAGTGGCAGGGAGAGGTGTCCGGAGTTGCAGCAAGGGAAAGGAGAGGATTTTGGGGATAGAGGGGCCTCAGGTGAGGGAAGGCGGTGGGGTTAGGGACAGCTACAATCCACCAGCTGGGTGACCTTGGGCCAGTCACTTCACCTTTCTGTTCCTCAGTTTCCTAGCTGTAAAATGGGGAGAATGATACAAAGTTCTTTGAGATCTACTGATTCAAAAATACTATGTAATGGCTAGCTCTTTTTGTTATTACCAAAGCGCAACAGCGTATCAACTGCAAAGCTACGCAAGAACTACAACTGCCTAAATCCCCACTAACTCCTACAACAAATCTTTCTTCCTTCCTTTCTGTTAATAAAAAAACTAGGAAATTCACGGACAAAACTTTGTGAAAACACAGAGTGAAGACTTCCTGGTGATATCTCATGCTCTTTGTCAGAGTTGCTGGGTGGTCAGCTGAGGCAGGAGCAGATGCAGGCTGGAGCAGGGGCTGCTCAGGTGGAAACCCTTATGCACATGATGCCAACACTGTACTTTCACTTACCCATCATCAAACCATCCTAACTACTGACAAGCCCCCTGGCAAGAAGATCCCTGTGTCCCACTAGTGACACAACCTACACAACACAGTGCTGAAATGAGGCATGTTGGATGTCTCAAATGTACAGATGCACCTTTTTTCTTTGATCACACACATGCGGGCCAGGTAGAAGGGATCACCCTCCCAGCGGCATACCCTCCAGATTTCAGTTTATCACAATCACAGCTCTTCCAAGCTGCTCCAGCTAATCTCTCCAAAATTCAATACAGCTAACAGAGGGAATGCAGCAGGAGTGCAGGCAGTTAATTCCTCGCGTCTATTACCAGCTTCAGGGAGGCAGAGTTAAGGTCACATGGGCCTGTAATTTAACACTTCATTTACTGGTTTTCAGAAGTTTGAATTTTGCTTGTTGAATTCAACTTTCTGGAAGAGTACGATATATCACCAGACCTCTTTAACTCTGTATTAACTAAGTTTTTTGTCAGTGAACTTGCATTATTATTATTTTCCAAACACACATTTGTTTAAATATGTTCAAGTCCTGAAAATAAGGCTGTGAACAGAATGGATTTTGGAAGCCAGGTTTCACAATTCAGGTTTGCACAGAGAATAAAGCAAAGGTTTACGTTACTGTTACTGAATCTTCTTGATCTCTGCATATCTTCCTCTAGCACAGCCTGTGTGATATTTTTCTTGCAGACTCAGACCCCAGGCCCAGAGACTATGGCTCACTCACATTTATATAAAGTAACTGCACATTTGCATAACATGCATGTTACATTTATCTATCTTTGTGCTCAAACACTTGAAATACATAGTCTAAGGGAAAAATATATAACCTCATATTATCCCTTTCCCCTCGCACAACGTTACCTAGTCAGATTTACTGTACCATAGCTAGAAAGAAGAATTTACTGACTTCTACATCAGCAACTTGAATAGCTGCAGATGGTAAATGAAGTAATAATAATAATAATAAAGTATTAGACACTGCACAATTGATGCTGTTATCTGAACAGGAACAGATTAGGAGAGAGGGGAGGAACCACATGGAATACTTTACACTACTATTTATTTCAAGGCATAAGAAAATCCCCATTCCAGCAGCTTTTTCCTCTATGATAAGAATAAGATTTTTTTTAAAGCTGTAATTGTAAAATTTGTTCTCTTGATATAAAACATGTTTTACAGAAGAGTTACCTGGATTTCTGGATTAAATTCTCCAAAAGAAAACATTTTAGCTCTTAGTGCCAGATCTGTGAGTTTTTCCTCTTCACTGATGCAGGAAACTTTAAGAATTTCTTTATGTCCTATAACAACACTTAATTTTTCATTTCTGTGGGTAAAAAGAGATCTGTGTCATAGTCATATATTCTGTGGATTCATTTGGTTGTGCAGTAAGCATCACTCAGCAGTTTAAAATGTTCTTTTTAGACAACCGCTAAAATCTTAGAAACTGGCTATTTTAGGCAAAGGTAGACTTCAGAGCTTCAAAGTCTAAACAGTAAATCAGTTTATCCCTTAGAGGGGGAAAGAAAATGACAGGAATTTTTTTTTCATATAAGGTAACAATTTCAAAAGCATTCTAGGCAGCTAGAACAAATCTTGGGATTATTTAGACTTCACTACAGTGACTGTCATTATCAAGTTTCAGAGTAGCAGCCGTGTTAGTCTGTATCCGTAAAAAGAAAAGGAGGACTTGTGGCACCTTAGAGACTAACAAATTTATTTGAGCATAAGCTTTCGTGAGCTACAGCTCACGCATAAGCCTTTGTGAGCTACAGCTCACTTGAAGTGAGCTGTAGCTCACGAAAGCTCATGCTCAAATAAATTGGTTAGTCTCTAAGGTGCCACAAGTCCTCCTTTTCTTTTTGTCATTATCAATTGATACTATAATAAATAAGCATCATGCACTATAGAAGTTAGGCAATTAAATAGAGAAAATGAACAAAAAATTGATTTTAAAAACTTTGAAATTAATTAAAAAACAAAACACAAATAAGCTGTGCATTTGTGAAAGGATATTATGAGAGAAAAGGCCATAAGGCATCTGTGAAGTAATATCTGCAGCTCATAACGTAGCTTTACTCCCAAAGTGCATACAAAATAATATATTGGGGTCACTTCACCTTGCTGGGGGTTGGAACACAACAGCTATTTAACAGCACTCAGACACATTACACAACCCTGTGGGGCAGGAAGTGAAGAAGAGTCTCTTATCCAGCTCAAAATGGAAATGGAAATGTAAGTAAAGTAAATTTAATTACCCACGTTGAAATTTAGCAAAAGTGCTATAACCACCACACTGTCCAAAGTGGATCTTGATTGCAAAAGGGATTGGGGCAGCCCTGTCTCCTTCTGCTCCCCCTGTAGGGTGTGGAGTATCCCCAGAGGCACTTGAATGGGGGAGGGAGGAGGAGGAGGAGGAGGAGGAGAAGAGCCTCCTCGTGCCATTCTGTAGGACTATAGGCCCTCATTAGATCTGAGTGAACTATGGTTTTAAATTGAGGTGGGATATTAGCATGCACAATAGGCCCAGAGCATGTGACCAAAAAGAATGAGACCATGAAAAAAGAAGAGTTGTTGTGTTAATCTTGTAATGAAACTTCAAAATACCTGTGTTATCTTATTTAAGGTTTGGGATGAAGTAATAGAAATAAAACATGGTTAACTGGCTACCAGGTGCACTAAATAATTGGTTACATAAGAAACTGCTTCATCTGGCCTTAGCTAAAGTCTGAGAATTGGCAATGACATCACTTGTTTGTTAAAGGAGGTACACAAAAAATAAACTCTGAAAGGGTTACTTGCTAATCCCTGCCTGACCATGTTGGAGCTGACCAATAGGTGTCTAATCAGCCTTGGGTATAGTCCATTTGTAAGTATCTTGATCAAACGCGTGCAAGTGTTCTGTTAGAGCTTGGACGTACTATACTGCTTATTAGTTAGGCTTTTTAGGCATGTTTAGAGCAATTGTATAAATCCCATTTGGCCTTTGTATTTCATAAAGGATTTATGGTTAAATGAATGTCACGGTAATAATCCCAGCGCCTTCTCCTCCACTCTGTCACACGAGGGCCAGGGACTATATGGTCCTTACTAATTACAAATGGGACATACACAACATGGAGGATATTTGTCTCCCCAGTCTACCTATTTGCAACCCAAAAATGCCAAGCTTGTGTAGTAAAACTGGTATTTTCTGTTATGTATCTACCTTATTCAGAAATTGTGCTCCTTCAAAATACCTTATGAGCCATACTTAAAGCATGACTATGTTGAAAATGTCTCTGCTTTGCTGTTCAAGGAATAGGTCAGGTAATTTAAATATCCAGCAGTGAAGAGGTACCAACTAGCTTTACATATTGCTCTCTCTAGTTCAATAACTTACAGTTTTGCCTTTATAGTTTTTGCCATCTGCTCAATTTCATCCATAGTTTCATCTAAGTCTTGGTTATTTTGGATCAATGCAAGATTTTGTTCCTCTAGCTCTGTGAAGATCTGAAGTAACTGTTTTGGGTCTGTGAAATATATTTCTGGCACCTAAGATGGAGGAAAGAAAGATACATAGCATTTACTGGAAGAAGAGCTACACCTATGTTAGGTAACTTCAGTTTTGCTGCAAATAATTCTTTCTAAAATTTAAAACAACAGAAAAATGTTAATATCATGTATGGGGGGAATCTTAAGGAGCTGATTAAGAAAGGTCTGTGGCTGATTTGAGTTGTTATAGTGATGCAAAGCTGCTGAAGCAGAGCTGAGAACCTGGCCAATGGGTTGAACATGTGCAACCAAGTACACAACCTGGCCCAGAATTTCTGCAATTTTTGCATAAGAAAAATCAAGTCATTAAAAGAAAAAAAAAATCTCATTTTCCAGAGGACACATGTTCAATCGAGAAGCCTAGTTTAATTACCATATCAGTGTCCAGGTCTTTCAAGGAATCTTCATGAATAGCACAATCACTTTCGCTTTCCCACCTGATATAAAAGGGAAGTAGAAAAGGAGTCAGTTCCTGGTTTATAAGCCTAAAATCCCAATCCTACAAGAGCTTTCTGATTTCAGTGTGTGGAAAGGGAACTCCCATCATTGCAAAAGATGTTTTCAGCTCTTTGAAGACTTAGGCCTTAGTCTTCTCCACATATGCATACAGTGGAGAGAAGGGAGGAATTGAAGCTTTAACCAACAGGATTAAATTTGATTTTATAAAGGAACTCTCACACCCATTCCTGCAAAGGAACTCTTTCAATGCACTGTCCTGTACTTATAGATTCTCCAGGACTCTATTGAACCTACAAGAATATTTTCTGCCCTTTTCAATAATAGCTGCTTTATAAGTGCTTCACAAAGTTGTGTGTTATATACAGGTATTAATGACTGTGTAGACAAACCAAGCAATCATTGTGAGCTCAATATAGCTCAATAGCCCACACGTTGCCTTGGATATATCTATTTTTTAAATTGTGACAGCCTTCAGCAGGTTCCAGCACATAATCAAGGGCAGAAATATGGCAGAATGGATGGGCAAAACAGACACGTCTATCTGCAAAGAAAAACAACATTAACTAAAAGAGGATGAAAAAGGACAGTTAACTATACGATGCTAAATTACAGTTCTCAATTCCCTCCTACTCTGCTCCCTTGTTTCTCCCAGTCCTCTTGTCTTTCTACTCCACTGCTCTGTAACCAGTGCTGCACCTCCAGTGGGAGCCCCACAGCCAAGCCTAACTGTGAGCCTTCAGCCACAAGACAGTTAATTTAGCTGTCCCATCGCAGGCACCTTCACCTGATACTGGTCTGGCTCCAGATGTTCACTGACAAAATTTTCATTCAGTCATCATACTTCTCCTGGTGTGAATAATCACAACAAATTCTTGGGCCTTCATCCTCAAGTCACCTTAATACTAAGTTGTTGATTTAAAGTTGCTAGCACCAATGATTGTTAAATCCTTCTATCTACCAGATGTCAATGCTCAGAACAGAGGCTGACCTGGGGGCGGAGGAACACATAAATGTGGATCCTTCTAGCTGGCTTTGGCCATTGGTACCACTATCAAATCACTACCACTATGGAGGTGGGAGAATTATTGATAAACTTCCTTACTGTGGTATATAATTGCATTTCTTATTTTATTTGATTTCTTACTTGATATATTTTCTTCTTATTGTACACAGGAAGATGGAGAAAGCAAACTGAGAATGGAGAAAGCAAAGTTTGTCTGATACTATTACCTTGGTGATGTCTTTTTTTTATCAGTCAAGATGGATTTGCACTCACTTAACATTTTCACTTCTTCATTCAAGTCTGCTTTTGTGAGCTTTCTAGAAGACCTGCGTTCATTTTCTTCAAAATGTGAAGCAATAAAAGGATAAATTTGAAAGTAAATACGTATCCAAATTATATTATTATTCATCTATAGGAACATGAACTTACACATTAAGGGGTATATTCTTATCTTGCTCCTTGGAACGTTACCAGCAGTGGTCTCCATATGTTAAGGAGGTGTATTTATCAGTTCGTCTATAACTATCATACAGTTTCTTTGTAAATATATATTAGATAAATACAAATATAAAGCAGTCGTAAGATGTAAGGTAGACATTGATCCCACCCATGTAAATTGCCCGCTACACTGACCTCATAACTCCACCTTTGCAAGCAGCATCGCCGTTAGGTGGAGGTAGTCAGGGTGACGGTGTCTGTGTAGACACTGTTACTTTGCCTGTTTTGGCTGTCAGCCCCACGCAGGGCTCAAAGCTGGAGCCACCCCCACACACCCTGGGGCTGACAGTCTGAGCTGTCAGTCCCACTTGAGGCTCACAGCTGCCCCCCCTCCCGGGGCAGGGGTGGGGGATCCAGCTGTCAGTGCCCCACACAGTTAAGTTGGTGGAAGTACTCCTGGTGAAGATGCACTCCACTGACAAAGGGGGCATAGTGTGGACAGGAACCACTGCAGTAATTACTGTGATGGCTGTATGTCAACCTCACTTAAGTCAACTTAATTTTGTAGTGTGCACTCACGTCTCCGGCTGCTTCATCTATGCACCCTCTGCCCCTGCTCCTCACAGAGACAATCCTACCAAGGGGAACGAACCCTCCATGACTGTGTGAATTTTACCATCAGTGAACAGGAATACCTTCACCACCCTACTGCATAGACCTCATACCTTTGTTACCATGCACTGCTGTTCTCTGGTGACAACTCTCACTTACAGCTGATGTTTTCCTATTGTATCCAGCACTTTTCTCAAAGGAACTGAAGCGCCTGTCTGTATTTGATACATAGAGTCTATCTAAAAATATAAAGAGAACTATAACTGAAGAGCTTTCCTAAAAGAAATGTGTCTTGACTGACAACAACAACAAAGTTACTGCTCTGATTTACTGTAAAAGCAAGTGGAAAATATAATGGGATCTAAATAAAGAATAACGTAAAGGAACTTTTTATCTGAGGTACAGCTAAACCAAGAAAGCTTTTCCAACTGCAACTGGGAAAAACAAATGGTAATATGGGAACAGGCCTTTAACAGTAAGGTCTTGTCTGCACAAGAAACTTGCGCTAGTTAAGCTAAAATCAGTTTTTAATTTGATTTAGCTTAACTGCAAACTCCTCTGTAGACATGTCTTATATGGATTTAAACCTGATTTAGCGGATTCCTTACCAGATTAAGCTAAATCAACGCAAGACAGGTTTAAATTAATTTGAGTATCCACACAGAGGTTTGCACTGTTTCAACTAAATCAATTTAAAAATACACCTTTAATTAAACTTTTAATAAAAACAACGCCTAAGTGAGGAATCTAGAAAAAAATAAACATTGCTAGCCTAAACATCAAGCTTCAAAAGACACAACCCACTAACGGGGGCTTATGTGAGCCACATTATTTACCCCGAATTCCAAACCTACATGTTAAAAAAACCATGAGTCAAGACCCCAAAATCATGAGAGTGGCTTTAAAATCATGACTTTTATAAAAAAAAAGTAATAAATTTGGGGTTCTCTTCATTTGTCTTCTGGTTTCTAAGTCGTAAAGGTGTACTTGCTTCATTTTTTAAAGCTTTTCTCTGTAACCAAAAGGGCTAGAAGCTTACTTTTTAAAAAACTGAAAGCTGAGCTCTCATACAATCTGTGGATTCCAGAAGCTGGGGTTTCATGAAAAAAACCCCACCGAAATTGTGAGACTTGTGGTAAAATAATGAGAGTTTGCAACACTGAAATGAAATCAGCATCTGATCACTTCATTTTTTAAAGTTCTGACTTGTGTGTGCTTAAATTTTCAGCCTTAACCACATTTATATAGATTGTACTTTATATTTTCAGACACATACTTGGCTTTAAAAAAATAGAACAGTGGCGTGGTTGGCGTGAAACTGAAGAAATTATCTTCTCTTTGCGTACACTTTCTTTTTCTTGGTGTGGAGTGAAAGTACACGTAATCATTTCTCTCTGCATGCACTCTCTTTCTCTCTGTTTGTTTATTCTTGCTTTCAACTTTTTTGTTCTCTGTTCTTCTTGCCATTCTTTAGGAGAAAGTTTCATCAAAAAATCTTCATAATATAAACTCTCCATGAGAAGGAATTCGGCATTTGCAATTTCACTACAAAAATACGTTACAGTATACAGTTAATATACAAGCAGATATACAAAAAAAATTTAAAGTTTAAATTATATCAACTTAAAATGACATTATCTTAGTCACACATTAGACTGGCATTTTTCAAAATGTGGGTTACTGAGAAACCCTCACATCTGGGTCAGGAGGTGACTTCAAAGTTCCTCCTCAGCATATGGGCTCAAACTTATTATAGATACTATGGTGCAAAGCTAAAAAGGTGTGTTGAACTATTAAGATGACAGCCTTTCAATGAAACACTAAACACAAGTTCTTTCTGCTGATCTCTAAGGAAAGTGAATGAGAAATTTCTTACCTGATCATTTTCTTTCTGCTAGCCATCTCCTTCCTCATTTATCCCTAATGGGTTAATGTCCCCCAACTCCAAGGAATTTTGTTGCTGGATACTGCAGGACTAAGCACCACCCTTCAGCTCAGGCCACCAAGCCATCAGAACAGTTCTTCCAAAGCAAAAGAAACACTCCAGCAACTGATTTATTAGTATTTAGAGAACTACCTGATATATTAATTAACCCCAATAAAATTATAAAAGGGGTAAAAACTAGGGTTATGTCATAGTAGGGATCTACTACAGACCACCTAACCAGGAAGAAGAGATGGATGTTGCTTTTTAAAAACAACTAATAAAATCATCCAAAGCACAGGACTTGGTGGTGATGGGGGACTTCAACTACTCAGACATCTGTTGGGAAAATAACGCAGCAGGGCACAGATTATCCAATAAATTCTTGGAATATATTGGAGACAATTTTTTAATTCAGAAGGTGAAGACAGCTATCAGGGGAGAGGATGTTCTAGATTTGATATTGACAAATAGGGAGGAATTGGTTGAGAATTTGAAAGTGGAAGGCAGCTTGGGTGAAAGTGATCATGAAATGATAAGAGTTCATGATTCTAAGCAATGATAGGAGGGAGAACAGCAAAATAAAGACAATGGATTCCAAGAAGGCAGACTTTAGCAAACTCAGGGAGTTGGTAGGTAAGATCCCATGAGAAGCAAGTCTAAGGGGAAAAACAATAGTTGGCAGCTTTTTAAAGAGACATTACTAAGGGCACAAGAGCAAACTATCTCACTGTGTAGGAAAGATAGGAAGTATGGCAAGAGATTGCCCTGGCTTAACCAGGAGACCTTCAATGATCTAAAAATCAAAAAAGAGTCCTACAAAAAGTGGAAACTAGGACAAAGGATGAATATAAACAAATAACACAAGTATGCAGGGACAAAATTAGAAAGGCCAAGGCACAAAACAAGATCAAACTAGCTAGAGACATAAAGGGTAACAAGAAAACATTTTACAAATATATGAGAAGCAAGAGGAAGACAAAGGACAGGGTAGGTCCGTTACTCAATGAGGGGGAAAAAATAATATCAGAAAATGTGGAAATGGCAGAGGTGCTTAATAACTTATTTGTTTCAGTTTTCACCAAGAAGGTTGGTGGTGATTGGACACTAACGTAGTGAATGCCAATGAAAATGAGGTAGGCTCAGAGGAGGCTAAAATAGGGAGAAAACAAGTTAAAAATTACTTGGACAAATTAGAGGTCTTCAAGTCACTAGGGACTGATGAAGTGACTCCTAGAATACTCAAGGAGCTGACAGAGCAGATATCTGAGCCATTAGCAATTATCTTTGAAAAGTCATGGAAGAAAGGAGAGATTCCAGAAGACTGGAAAAAGGGCAAAAATCTAGTGCCAACCTATAAAAAGGGAAATACGGACAACCTGGGGAATTACAGGCCAGTCAGCTTAACTTCTGTACCCGGAAAGATAATGGAACAAATAAATAATCAATTTGCAAACATCTAAAAGATAATAAGGTGATAAGTAACAGTCAGCATGGATTTGTCAAAAACAAATCATGTCAAACCAACCTGATAGCTTTCTTTGACAGGATAACAAGCCTTATGGAAAGGGGGGAAGTGGTAGAGGTGGTATATCTTGACTTTAGTAAAGCTTTTGATACTGTCTTGCATGACCTTATCATGCAAGTTTCCTAAACAAACTAGGAAAATGCAACCTAGATGGAGCTACTATAAGGTGGGTGCAAAACTGGTTGGAAAACTGTCCCAGAGAGTAGTTATCAGTGGTTCAGAATCATACTGGAAGGGCATAACAAGTAGGGTCCTGCAGGGATCAGTTTTGGGTCCAGTTCTATTCAATATCTTTGTCAATGATTTACATAATGGCATACAGAGTACACTTGTAAAGTTTGAGGACGATACCAAGGTGGGAGGGGGTTGCAAGTGCTTTGGAGGATAGGATTAAAATTCAAAATGATCTGGACAAATTGGAGAAATGGTCTGAAGTAAACTGGATGAAATTCAATAAGGACAAATGCAAAGTACTCTATTTAGGAAGGAACAATCAGTTGCACACATACAAAATGGGAAATGACTGCCTAGGAAGGAGTACTGCAGAAAGGGATCTGTTCAGTTTGGCCAATGTACATGGCAGAGGGGCATTGCTGGCACATGATGGCATATATCACAAACCAGACAGTCTCTACGTAAAAGAATAAATGGACACAAATCTGACATCAGGAATCATAACATTCAAAAAACAGTAGGAGAACACTTAAACCTCTCTGGTCACTCAGTAACAGACTTAAGGATGGCAATTTTGCAACAGAAAAGCTTCAAAACCAGACTCCAGTGAGAAACTGCTGAACTAGAATTAATTTGCAAACTAGATACCATTAACTTGGGCTTGAATAGAGACTGGGAGTGGCTGGGTCATTACACAAATTGAATCTATTTCCCCATGTTAAGTATCCTCACACCTTCTTGTCAACTGTCTGAAATGGGCCATCTTGATTATCACTACAAATGTTTTTTTCTCCTGTTGCTAATAACTCGTCTTAATTAATTAGCCTCTTAGAGTTGGCATGGCAACTTCCACCTTTTCATGCTCTCTGTATTCTGAAAGGATCGGGCCAGATGGCTATAGGAGAGTAACAGAAGGCAGATATATTAGCCCCAGGCTAAGTAGGTCCCTTTTCCCTGTGTAAGGTAACAGGGAAGGTTCCAGAACAATCAGGAACCTTCTGGAGACAATTAAGACAGGCTGATTAGAACACCTGCAGCCGATCAAGAAGCTGCTAGAATCAATTAAGGCAGGCTAATCAGGGCACCTGGGTTTTAAAAAAGAGCTCACTTCAGTTTGTGGTGCGTGTGAGGAGCTGGGAGCAAGAGGCACTAGGAGCTGAGAGTGAGAACGTGGACTGTTGGAGGACTGAGGTGTACAAGCATTATCAGACACCAGGAGGAAGGTCCTATGGTGAGGATAAAGAAGAGGTTGGGAGGAGGCCATGGGGAAGTAGCCCAGGGAGTTGTAGCTGTTGCACAGCTGTTCCAGGAGGCACTCTAGACAGCTGCCTTCCACAGGGCCCTGGACTGGAACCCAGAGTAGAGGGCGGGCCTGCGTTCCCCCCAAATCCTCTCAACTGGTCAGACACAGGAGGAGTCGACCGGGACTGTGGGTTCAGAAAAATGGCCAAGCTGAGGGCTGTCGTGAAGCTCCAAGGCGAGCAAATCCGCCAATAAGCGCAAGACCCACCAAGGTAGAGCAGGAACTTTGTCACAGTATGTATATGTATCTTCTTACTATATGTTCCATTCTACGCATCTGATGAAGTGGGCTGTAGCCCACGAAAGCTTATGCTCATATAAAATTGTTAGTCTCTAAGGAGCCACAAGTACTCCTGTTCTTTTTGCAGATACAGACGAACACAGCTGCTACTCTGAAACCTATCAGGATAAGAAATTTCTCATTCTCTTGCAAAGCTTCTCTCCTAATTCATCAACAATGGGAAGTAGCAAGAATTGAATCACAGAAGTGTAGGAAGATAAGTAGTGTCTTAATTATTATTATTATAGTAGAATAATAGGCAGGAAAGGAAGTTACTCTCATATAAAGCAAGGAATTAGGTGGGAACCAGCCCAGTAGCAACTTCCTACTGAAAGATGCCTCTGCAAAGGAATGGAAACTTACTTTGCAAATCTTCCTCAGATGAGGTGCAGATACTTTTCCCCCAGTGCCACTAGGGACTTCTGTGAATAGCTTCCCAGATGCCTAGCATGCCAACTGGTGCAGGATTTTAACATGTTGCCTGTAGCAACTTTGAGATCTGAAGACAGGGCCAGATTATGACATTCTGAGGCCCTAAGCTATGTCAAGTGTAAGAAGCCCCATACCATAAAAAAAAATAATTTATTATTTTCACAGAGAGGACATTGAATATATAAACACAAAATCTTTATACTTGCATATATACAAAGGCAAAGTTGTAAAAATAGAATAATAATTAACTAAAACTCATCTTGCAATATGCCTGTTTGCATTATAAAATAGTTTCAAATTAACATATTTTCGACTATGATCTCTTAATTAGTAGATATGAAAACTTTATATCTACATCAACACAAAAGCAGTTACAGTTACACAGACCAGCTTACCTAACGGAAGCAGTACAGCCTGCAGTATGTCTGTTTGCACATCACATTCATTTTAACACTGAAATTTAAAACATTTTCTTCTGTGATTTTTGGTGAGCAAATGATAAGCTATGGAGTGTGTCACTTTCGATGCACAGAATGCTTAGGGCAGATAGCTTTTCTTGCAGAATTTTCTAGGCAGACATCTCTATTCATGTTTGCTTCTCTATCCTCTGTCTCCCCCAGGACCACTAATTAATCTCGAGTAAACATCTCTGACACACAGAGTCACAACAAGCTATATGCGCGAAAGAGAGAAAGAATTTACCAGAAAAAAGACAGGTAATCTCTAGACAGGCATTGAGAAAGTGAGAAAAACTAGCCCATATTCAAGCAAATATAATGAATATTATAGGCTTTAATAGCCTATTAATCATAAATGCACATAGTTTGAAATAACTTGCTCACTAAGTACTCAGAATATTTTGATATATATGTATATCTTCCTTCACTTCTCTCAAAACCCTCTATTTATCCTTTCGTCAGCACTCTCTGATATTTACTGTGAAGGTTCCCGAAACTGACAGAAGGAAGCCAACACAAATGTATCCTCCTCAAGATCCACTAGACCCAAATCCATAAGATGATCACCAGCAAACTCAATCATGTGAAGCATGGATAGCGCGTGAAGCAGAAAGTGGTGTGCACGCTAAAATATACAATTGTACGTATGTACAGATCAAAAGAAGAAAGAACACACTAACACTTAAGAAAATGAAGAAAAACAGGAATGAAGGCACTCTATGACTGAGTGTGCTGGACCGTAAACAAAAGACGGTGGCCTTCTGGCTATTACCAGCCAAAGGGGATGCTATACATGACATCACTCCAAGGACGAGTCCCATAGGAGTATGAGCTTGGCAGGATTGCTTCAAGACACTGCCATCTCCGACATCACATTTTCCCTGATTTTATCGGCAGTTAGATTATTTATGTATTTTAAAAAATTATGAAGGCACGGTCAGAATTTTACCAGTAGCAGCTGACCAACAAACCGCTGCCTTAGGAGGCTGATAGGAGACTTACTTGCAGAACTACTAATTTTACAAGTGCAGTTATCTTTTTTTTCTAAGCCCTGGCCTCCTGCCTGTCAATAATGAACAATTTGTGAAGCGTAATGGTATGGTAAAGGTATTTGTGTAGCCAGATGTGTATATTTTTGTCATATTTGAACAAAAATGACTATATTTAGAAAGAATCTTCTTTTCCCATATCTCCTTTATTTATCAACCAATGTTGATAAAATTTGAAATGGAGTCAGTTTTTTCTTTTTTAGAGGCCCCTCATACTGCGAGGCCCTAAACTGTAGCTTAGTTATTTTATGCCTTAATCCGGCCTTCTCTGAAGGGATTTTGGATAGAATGAGATGAACAGGGTACAAGTGGCATGTGTACTCCATATATGCTTGAGATATATCTTTAGAGCACTAGAAATGCCCATTTATGGCACAACTTTCCATAGGAGCGCTAAAGGTTAGAACAAAATGATGGAAGAACTATGACCAAGGAATTGTGGAAAGAGAAATTTATCTTGAACAGAAAGATTTCTGGAGCTATAAGAATAGCCTTTTCCTCAACAACAGCGCTGTGGTTTTCATACAGGGGAACCAATTAAAAAACCTGCTTTTCTGAGCGTGCCTAGAAAGGCCAGCCATTGGTTTGTCTAACCTGTCGTTCTGATTAATCTTGGCATCTGATGATACCCAAATGGAGAAGCCAGTGTGCCTCCCCACAGAATGCCTCTATGGCCAGTACTCATGTTTCTATGGTGCTTAGTTGTACAACTCCAATCAAGCATCCTGGAGAATCTCTAGTATAGCTGAGACTACCAGAACTTTGTGATTGTCATCATACTTGTGTAAGCACAGTCAGGATGAGCTCCACCCTGACATCTGGTGGTGAGTTGTGGCAAGTTGTGGAAAAGAACTTCAAGGGCTGATCTCATTTGCATAGGCACACCCATCCCGCCTAGCATGAGCCCATAGCTGCCCAAATGGTCACTTTGGCTGCTGTGGGATCCCCAGTTTCTCTGTTATTAAAAGACTTTTGCTACACTCAGACTCTGTGCTTGCGAGAGGGGCAGTATTGCCTCTTAGAGGCGCCCAGCGGGGGTGGTATATATTTGTCCCAGGTCACTGGATGGGGGCTCAAGCCAGTTTTCCATTGTGTTATTGGAATGGAACCCCTAGATACTGAACCTGGCCCTTGTTGCTGCCAACTCTGATGTGCAGAAGGGTTACACTTGTATTACAGTAGCATCTACAGGTCAGGGACCCACTGTGCTGGGTACAATACAAACATTTTTCCTCTTTCCTCTCACATCAGAAACATAAATTTGTCTATATCAATGAATGAGATTTCCTGGTTGTTTTTTTTTTAATTTTTGTTATGCATGCTTGGTGTTACTGCTGGCTGTTTACAGGGAGGAAGTAACATGCTATTCATCCTGGCGTGGGGACCACACAACCAAAGAGGGGTCTGGCTAAAAGTACCTCACTGTGGAAGTAGCTTGACTGAGATCCCTGGGAGTCTGTACCCAAGTGAGTAGTGAAAGGACAAACAAGGACCACTTGGGCCTTTACTCGGTAAACAGGAGTCATTTTTAACATGAGAATGGATTTCTCACTTTCCCCTTTATCATCCCATGAAGGTTCAGCTTCCTGGGGAGTGGAATCCTCAGGTGCCTCTCTTCTTGTAAAGTTCTCTCAAAAAGCGTTAGAGTGTGAAATGAAGAACTCTATAAAACTAAGTTATACTTAAGTATTTTGACACGTGGTTTCATCTTCCAGCTTTTATCATCAGCTATACAAAATGACTGATATTTTGACTGACTTAAAATGAAGCACTGAGAGATAAATTCATTCCTACTTTAACTCCACGAAAGTGAATGGTATTATGTTAATGATGGGTTATTTAACAGGAACTAAATTCCCATACATTATTCTGTGTACAGATCTCAACTCTGGTGAGCCATTGTTAAAAAGAACTATGAACCCATTCTCAATTTTTGCTTCAGACAATTTTCACACTAAAACCTAAAGTTTACATAGTAAGCAGAAAACATTCACAAACTAGATCCAGGGCAGACTGTCCTTTTTACCAGCTTAACAGCTTTGCTAGCAACACTATGTCCCCACCCTCTTAACTTGTGCATGTCCCAAGCTGAGAGAATCCCTAATATTATCCTTATACATACATACACGCACACACACACACACATACTCTACTGAATACACAGTTCACACAAAGAAAATATTTAAAAAAACACACCAAACACACATACACAGAAATCCAATCTAGCAAAACAGCACCTGACATTGGGGTGGCAGCGAACACCATCACCCCTCACAGACCTGACCAGGTCAAATCCTGGCACTGCCTACTGCCTCTTTGCAAACCTACAGGCCTGAAGGTACAGTTTCCCAGCTCCCCACTTGTCCCCATTACTATCTTTGGTTATCCATTTAAAGGAGTTTGGTCTGTTAAAATGAAGATACAGTATCACACTCTGTACTGCTGTAAAACAGTTAGGTCTGTGAAACTCTCTGCTGCCCTTAACTCACTTCATGGGGATCAACAGGTGTGGGGTTCAGGCCCAAACTGTACACCTACAGAACAGCTCAATGTGGCAGTGGGTGAACCTCAAAGATTTGCTCCCCCCAGAGTGTTCTTCAAAAGAGGAGAATCTGCACCACTGTTACCATAAAAAGAGAAGTACATTTATAACATAAAAGTCTCACCTTTTAATAGCGAAGAGTTCATTAATAGCAGACTTTACATCTGCAACCATTTCCATTTTGGATTTAGTTTCTTGGGCTGCACTAAAAAGTAACATGGAAATATTACAGAGACATAGGTGTACGGTTTTCGGTAGATCAAAAATTGAAACAAACATTAACTGTAATAGCAATTCTAACATGTTAAGTGCATCCGCAGAACTTCGGTCATTTTCTTTCAGAAATTCCTCAAATGCAATTGTATCCTCTTCTAGCTTTGCTTCGGCAGAAGTGGCCTCTTTCTCGGCTTGCATTGCTAATTTCTCCAGCTTCTTTATAGTTTGTTCTTTTACTTTTACTGCGTACTAGGAAAACAAGAGAGTGGGGAAATGTTATGTACAAAATGCTGTCCAAATGTATTTTGTATCTGTATTTCATTATTTCAGGGAGCAAAGTAAACTCAGCAAGACATGCTCAGAGAGATAGGAATAGCTGCCCTAATTCAGACAAGGAAATACAGCATGAATTAATGTCCAAAATATATTACCGTATTTCAATGCTAAATGTACAGATTTAAACACAGTGTAAAGAAATACAAAATCAAGAATCCAATAGTTATATTTTTCACTACATATACCAAGCCTGATTCTCCATTGTCCTAAGGCCCCTTCATGCAGTTTTGGCAACAGAACGAGACCTTAGAGGTAGCAGAGCTTTCCCCAGGGACTATCCTCAGTGTAAGAGAGTTCCTTGGGCAGTACAGAGCTGGCAAAATGACCCTGTGCTGGTACCCTGCCCAGGGGGCAGAGCTGCAGTGCTGCTGGAGGCATGCAGCCTGAACATCAGTTAAAAGATAATGGTATGGAAAAACCTGCACTGTAGTTTGTGATGTAGCTGCTCTTCTATACTGAGAATTTCTGTCTCCAGTGATATCAGTTTGGCAAAACTTCCAAGTAAGGTCTGACTTGTCACTGAATTGGTAATTGTAGAAAAAAAGCAGCCCATCCAAACACTTTTATTATGATGAATGTGAGCCTTACTCAACTTTTTTACCAAATTCAGGGCCAAGTCCTTTAAATACTTAAATATGTGAGTTAGTTTTACTCACATGAGTAGTTCCAGTGACTTAGATGACATTGAGTAATCTTACTGTGTTTGCAGGGTTAGACATGCACACTAATGTGGAAACTCAGGTCAAGGTGCCTCTTTACCATCACAAAAATTCAGACTTAGAGATAAACAGAAATATTCTAATCTAGTTACTTGCACTATTTTTATTTCACATAGTGTGCTTTTATAACTACATTTTTCAGAAAGCACCAACCATAAGAACAACAACATTTTAGGGTACCTGCAGCAGAAACAACTCCTTCTGTTCCTTGATATAATCTGCTAAAGACTGTTTGTCACTTTGGCAACCTTTTAAGAGAATTTAAATGTTGTTAAAATTAATCTGATGATGTTACTATTATTCTTCCAAATTCCACGGTACAAGATCCCATAAATTACATTTGCATTCAAAGAATTACAATATATGTTTATATCTTATTTAGTTTGATAAGCAAAAAATGGCATTATAAGAAGTCTTACTGGGATTAGTTTCAAAGAATTAATTGAATTAACAGATTAATAGATTAATTGAATTAATTAATTAATAGACTTCCCAATGCTCTAATTTTGAAAACAGCACATCACATAAAGGAACAACGTTTTGCAGCAGACTAATTCTTAGTACAGTGGCCCCCAAACTGTGGGGTGTGCCCCCCCAAGGGGCTCAGGGGAATATTGGAAGGGGGGACATGGTGGGGCTCAGGTCAGCTCCCAAAGGGAATGGGGAGGGAGTGCCACCCAGCCCCGCTCTGCCCCCAGCCCAGCTCCAACCCAGCCACAGCTCCACTCTGCCCCCTGTTCTGCCCCCAATCCAGCCCTTCCCACATTCCTTCTCTGTCCCCAGGCCAGCTCCGCCTTTAGCGCCAGCTCCTCCCCCATCCCCAGTTCTGCCCTCAGCTCTGCCTTCAGCCCAAGCTCCTTCGCTGAGGAAGCCATGGCTGTGCAGTAATGGAAGGGGAGACACAAACAGATTCCATTACTGGTAAGGGGGGGCATGACAGGAAAAGTTTGGGCACCACTGTATTAGTTACAGACTGTGGTGGTGGTGGTGAGATGGGGATGCCAACATTTTCACTCTCTTCAAAATTTGGATGCAAGTCTAAATCCTTGTCCAGAATCCTGAAAACTGACCTGCGTGCCCAACAATCAGATCTTGCAACCAAATCCCTTTGCCTATATGGAGCTCCACTGAAATCAATGGGGTTCTATGCAGGTGCAGGGGTCCAGTGACAGGGATCCAGTTACAAAATCTGGTCCTAAATGACAGATTTTAGGTGTATGATAGATGAAAATCTATGCCAAGGTAAGCAACTCTGACATGTGTATAACAAAATGTAAAACTAAAAGAACGTACTCACATTTTGCAAAAGTAAGAGCCCAGTTGGGACCAGAAGTAATATACCCTTTATCTATTGTAGCCCGGGTCTCTCTTTCAATGACTGAGTCCATCTTTTTCACAGAGTCTCGAGACTTTGCTCTTGATGAAAATGTGCTCTTTTCATGGACCTTCAAATTCTGTTGAGCCTTTTTATCCTGCATTTATAGATTTTCAGATAAATGTGTTTATTAATGACACTATGAGCTCTTGGGTAGGGACTTACCTTTCTGTAAAATACCATACATCTACGGCACTGTATAAATAATAACTCAGGGCCCTATTCTGTCACACATATTCCATTTATTACCAAGTCCTGTAAAGATTTATGCATGTGTTTAACTTTACTAATGAGCAGCTCCATTGATTCCAATGCAACCACTCACGGTGGTAAAGTCTAGCACGTGTGTAAGTCTGCAGGCCTGTGGCCTTAGTCTGTAAGTAGTCCCATTGGTCTTAATGGAACTACAATACAGTTAGAGTAAGATACTCAGTGTGAGTAAGTGTGGTAGAATCTGGCCCTTAGCTTGTACACAGTAATGGCCCTTAATATATAAGTACTCTTTCCATTTGCTGAAACAGTTCAGAAGAACAGAGTGTCTATGAATATTCATACACATATAGTCGTATTAGATATTTAACTTAAGATGCTATGTGAATTCATCTTTAAAGTACATTGCATAAAAGTCACTAAAAGAATAAGTTTTCATAAATTTATTTAAGTTATTTAATTTATTTATTATTAGAAACATAGAAATTAGAGATGAAGAACTGGTCATTTCACCAGTGCAAGATTATGCACTACAGTACATACATTATGTAGCATGTACTCCTAACAAGTCTTTTGATCTTTGATTAGAAAGTTATATAGCTAATACACAGGAAAACAACACAAGAGTTGTGTGTGTTTCTTTGTTTTCTGTGTTAGTTATTTAGGGTCAGCTTTTGGATTTGGATTTTTTTAATCTTTTGAAGCCCTCATATTCTTAAGAACAACAGTCAGAAAAGGCTATAAAGTCTATCTGAGAAGCAACTAAAGCATCAGCTGTTGCTGGGAGTTATAACAGGTTGAACTATAATTCTATGCTGGGCAGACCGCTGGCACCCAGGACACCACAAAAGCCCCGATTCAACAAGATACTTAAGCACATAAGTACGCCCATTGACTTCACTGAGGGCATGACTACACTGCCACACAGGTCTAACTAAAGGGATGTGAATAGCAGTGTGCAACAACGTGCTGCACTGTAACTCAACTCCCCTGTGTGGACTGTGCAAATACAAACTTATAGGTCCCGAGTTCACACTAATGCAGGAAGTTTGCACCTGCAGTGTCCACACAGGGGAGTTACAGCACAGCACTTTGGTGCGTACTGCCGTTTGCACTCCCTTAGTCCAAACTGCGGGGCAGTATAGACATGCCCTGAGACATGCAAAAACATGATCTAAACTAAAGTGTCCCTAGCCGCTATTTGCCAGAAGCTGGGAATGGGCGACAGGGGATGGATCACTTGATGATTACCTGTTCTGTTCATTCCCTCTGAAGCACCTGGCCTTGGCCACAGTCGGAAGACAGGATCCTGGGCTAGATGGACCATTGGTCTGACTCAGTATGGTTGTTCTTATGACTAATCACATGTTTCAAGTTAGGCACATGCTTAAGTTCCTTTCTGAATTGGGATCTAAATCAGTAGGGAGCTGGGGGACCTACAAAAAAATTGAACAAGACAACTTGACGATGAGGGGTGGCTTTGGAACGCTGGCCTGAGGGAGAATGTTTCTTTTTCTATTCTGCTGGGTCTGAGGCACGCAAAGTTTCTGGGCACAGTGGGAATGGGGCACAGAGTTCCATCAGTTTTACTTTTGTGAAGTTATGACAAAAATATTTTACACTGAGAAAGTAAATTTTACACAAAACCCAACTGGTCTGAAATAATGTTAAGTCCAAGAGTGTATATAACAAATTTGCGTTTGTTCTCTGGATTGGTTCCAGAAATTTAGAAACCAGTTTAGTTAAATCAATGCAATTTCTGAATTCAGACCAGCCCAAAGGCTGTGGTCAGCCCTGATGGGTCAGTGACCTACAATACTTTTACAGTTAGGACACAAGCTTAAAGACCATTCAACAAAACTCACAAACAAAAAACAATTCTCAGGACTCCCATAGTCTCCTCCTGTATGAGTGAACTTCAGATCATTTTGCAAATATTAATAAATTTAGACATACAATAAAGCAGTATGGAAATAAAACATTATGAACCCCATTTACAGATGAGGAAACTGAGGCACAGAGCTATTATGTGACTTACACAGAAAGTCCATGGCAATGTCTGGACTACAACTCAGAACACTCTACCCTGAGTTCTGTGCCTTACCCATGAAACCATACTTCAGTTCTTAGGCTGACCATTCTAGAAATATGCTACTGGATGACTATATCTGGGGCAGCCTGATTTTTCCACTCTTTTGAAAGCATGTACTTCCTTTGAGAAACTATTGCAGGAATACTACATATACACATCCATCATCAGCAAAAAGAAATTTAAAATGCAGTATTTACCTCCACAAAAGATTTTAACACATTGTACTAAACTGATTTTCCCTCACATTATTCCTAATTTGGAGGGGGTGGGGTGTGGAAGAGTATTTATTTGCAGACTTTTCACCACTTTAATTGCTTTGTTTGGTGAAATGAGTTCCTTTCCCCCTAAACAGTGGGACTTGACAGTTACAGGTAAAGTACATTAAATTAATAACATACGTAGACTTAGCATAGGCTCTGGCAATTAAAACTGACACAAACGCATACCTCTTCTTTGGCCCTACATTCAATGTCTCTGTAAAGAAATGGCTTGCAGTCCACAATTGTAAAAGGAGTCTTCTTTTGATTATCAGTGTCGTAGTCTATAAAAGATGAAAGGGAAAAAAATTACATTCTGATATCTTTTAAAACACCACCATGTAAAATTCAGTCCAAAAAGCTGTTTTAGTGGAACATAAAGCTTGTGATTCAAACCCGTCAAACTCAGGAAATTAGAGTGTGCTATCCTTTGGCACCCGTCACCCTATCCTCTTGCGTATACATACAGCGAATCTCACCCTTAGTGCACAACAAGCCCCTTCTCGCAGTTGTTAAGCATTACACAAAATTCACGTATGGTGTTTATTTAATCAAAACATTTTTTTACCAAAACTAACGCTCTGAAATCTCGGAGTCTGGGACTGGGACGGTGGAAATAAGGCTACTGATGCCATCCCTACTTTCTGAAATTCCTTCCGGAACTGCTGAAATAGACAAAGTGGGAAAAAAAGCATGAGCATTAGAATAGTAAATCTGATAAAGGCTTGAGGCCAGCTTGTCTTTCGGTCTATGCATAGACACAAATTGAGTAGTAAGGCACATGATTAAATACGAACACACACAAACACAGATTTGGGTTTTATGCACATACATGGATGTACTTGCAAGTTCCTGTGAGCACAGTACGGAGGCCTGTTGAACACTGGACCCAAAATATCTGTGGACCAATTGAAGCAGTTTTAGCAGTACATACCACTGTGGGGTCTCTCATCAATTTCTATTTTAATGCATAAAATAGTGTCACCCGAGACTGCCAGAATATCCAGCGAGAACTCCTGGAACAGCTCAGAGACATAGGGTGGGATTCACAAAGTTACTCACGTGCCTAAACCCCACACTTAGGTGCCTAAATCTTAGGCACCTAAATCCCAGGTTAGGCTCCACTGTGATTCACAAAACTCCCACCCCTATTCTGTAGGGACCTAACCTCACGGGGCACCTATGTTTCTACCTCTGAGCATGAGCACTGCTGCCTCACTCTAAGTGTCCAGGTGCCTATCTCCCGCCTAAGCCCCAGAGGGATTCACTAACGGCATTCGCCCATCTGTCTCGTGTGAGGGGCCCAAGGTGGTAGCTGTGCTCAGATGCTGCCTACCTGCTCAGGTCACATTCCAAATCTGGCCAGAGGAGAAGGTGATGCTGCTGACACCACCCACTTTCAAACTTTTGGCTAAGTGACTAGAGAATTCACCCAGGGTGGGGGAGACCCATATTCAACTCTCCCCTCTGCCTGAGGGAAAGAAAGGATTTAAATGGGGTTCTCCCATGTCTCAAGAGTGTTCTAATCACTGAGCTATGGGATAGTCTGAAGTGGAACTCCCTCAATCTCTCCTGCTGACGCAATTTCCCTGTGAATAAACAGAGTCACTGGAGCCGAGCAGCGAGACAGAACCCTGGGTCTCCCATGTGGGTGCCCTAACCACTAGGCTACAGAGTTAGTCTGTCTCTCTCTGGTCCAATGACTCTTTAATTATTTAATCTACAGTAGAACAGCTTCTACAGGATTTGATTTGGGGAGCCCCCATGAGAATATCCCATAGCTCAATGGTTTGACCACTCTCCTGAGAAGTGGGAGAACCCTTTTCCAATCCTTTCTCCTCATCAGACAAACAAGGAAATTGAACCTGGATCATCCACATCCCAGGTGAGTTCTCTAACCACTGGGCCAAAAGTTATAAAGCAGGCTGCAGCAGCAGCACCTCCTCCTCTAGCCATTTGTGTGTAGTTAGGCACCTGCCTAACTCATTCTCACAAGAAAATGCCATAAAAAGCCTCCTGACTCCAGGAGAGGGGTTCCCAGTTTGTGAATTGCTAGCAAAGATAGGTGCACAAGTCCAAGCTGCGGGGAGGTGCCTACCTTTGAGAGAGAGGGACAGGGCTTTGCACACACCCGTTGTTGACATCTCCCATTGGCTAGTTTAGACAGCTTCCTACTAAGTATTCTGGCTTTTCTGGATCACATTCTAAGGCACCTATCTCTCCCCATTTATTGTATAGGGAGCCTAGGTGCCTAACTCAGGCTTTGTAAACCACAGTGTTGTTCCTGTGATTTTCTAGGCACCTAAAAGTTAGGTCTTATGACCCTGAGCATCATAATGCCCAAGCCCCTTTGTGAATCTAGCCCACACTCCTTTAATCCTCAACCAACCCAGTAGCTAATCCGCTGTCTGCTTCAAGGGGAAAAATGTTTACAAGGAAGCCCTGCCTCTGCATCACTGCCCAGGCTCACCACTGGGGAGAATGATGCCACATCACAAAAGATTTCCAAACACTGTCAATTGCTAAAGAATTTAAACTACCTTCAAAATATTTGTCCCTACCTCACAGTTTGTCTCACCTGAAGAAGGGTTAGCTCAATAAGGCACATCCAAGAAGCCTAGCACACCTGCCCCTTTTTGTGTATATAAACATATAAGTTTATATACATAAAAATGTGTTGATATTATTATATTTTAATTTACATGTTACAAGAAAAATATTGACAAACTGGGGGGAGTCTAGAGAAAAGCAACAAAAATACTCAGGACCTTTATATGAAAAAAAGTAAAAGAACGAAGCAATGACTAAACAGGAGAATGCAACTGTAGTCTACAAATATTTTATGGGCATACAAATTAAGGAAGAAATGATGTACTGTGATCTACAGGGGTCTGCCTAAAAGCAAAAAGTTGAAACAAAGAAGTGGAACATTTAGGATGAATACCAAGAAAATCTTCCTGCCGGTGAGATGTGTTAGGCTGTGAACCACCCAGTGAAAGCCATCGCACCACGCCTGGAGGAGGTCGCCGTGAACTGCGCCATCCCCGGTACTGACAGCCAGTTGCGACCTGACGTGGTAGTCACCGACGAGGCCCAGAAAAAGATCATCCTCGTCGACATCACGGTCTCCTTTGAGAACAGGACCCTGGCCTTCCGCGAAGCCCGAGCTCATAAGCTGGAAAAATACGCCCCTCTAGCCGACACCCTGAGAGCGAAGGGCTATGAGGTGCAGATGGATGCCCTGATCGTCGGAGCCCTGGGCGCTTGGGACCCCTGCAACGAGCGTGTGCTGCGGACCTGTGGGATCGGTCAACGCTACGCACGGCTCATGCGGCGCCTCATGGTCTCGGACACCATCCGATGGTCCAGGGACATTTACATTGAACACATCACCGGCCACCAACAGTACCAGGAGGTGTGAGCCGGTACAACATCGTGCATCAACTATGGGAAAGGGACTGAGAGACTTTTTCCATTGGACCATATGAACTAGAACCATAAACTCACTGAACATTAAATCCCACCAAATGAGGGTAGATCCATCCCCATCATCGTATCCACTCATTATACTCCACACCCGAACATAGCCATTATATGGACAACATACCCCCATATCACAATGTCTGTACTTTGACCGGTTAAACTTTTACCCCCAATCGGGGAGATTGCAGATTACGTATTCCTTACGCCACCCATTCCTAAACCGAATTTCGCACCCCTTGATAATCTATACCTTATTCCCTGATAACCAGAAACTTCTATGCTTAAACTCTGTACCATTTTCTTTTTACTTCAACATTATCTTAATAAAATTATTATATCTGGGGAAGCTGGGAAAGCCCAATTATTCTGGACTTCTAAAAGTAGACTGGACAAAGCACTAGTATATGGGTGGTATGGAACAATCCTGCATTAACAGGGAGATGGGGTGGATGATCTAATAAACCTTGTCCACCTCTAAGTTTTGAGAATGTTGTAGAATCCTGGAAGATGATTGGCTGGCAGGAAGGTACATTTATATTGACCTGAGGCCTTTGCTGATGGCCCTCTCCATTATCTGCTGAATTCCTTGCCATCCCATTCATGTTGCCCTGAACAAGAGCGAATGATAGCTATACGTGACATGGTTGGTGGTAATCATTTAAGAAGGTCTGTGCCCACCAATAGCACAAGGAGAACATGGTGAAAGATTTTAAACTTAAGTACTTAAAGTTAGATTTTGGCACTTAAATAAAAATTGCCCAATTTCCGGAGGTGTTGAGCACCCGCAGAGCTTCAATTGACCTCAGTGGAATTTGTAAGTGCTCAACTCTTCTGGAAATAAGGCCATTTTCATTTCGGTCTAAATGTGGAATTAGAAACCTAACTTTAGACACCTAAATTAGAAGATTTTGTCCACAGCATTATATTGTTCTCTTTTCTTTGAAGAGAAGAGAAAACCTAAAATGTTCATTTTGTGAATAAAAATTCCTGCTAAAATTCTCCCGTCTCCAGCTCTATAGGGGGCAGTAAAATAGAACATTTCTTTTTAATCTTGGTGGAAATCAGATAAATGATAATTCCTTAACCAAGTTTGGCAAGGGGCAACAGGCGCACATGGGGCTGGTTCCTGTGACTCTGGGCAGGCCAGGAACTTTTAAGGGTGAACATTCCAAATTAAGAACCAAAACATTCCGGGCGCCTCAGTCTAACTGTAACATGAAAATAAGCCGGTGATATCTGCATTTCCATTCACACCACAAAGCCGGATTAACCGGCCACTTGTGGGATTTGCCTAACAAGGGAAAATCTCCAGCTGACACAGAGCCAGTGTAGGACATGTGGCCAGAACCCGCACTTCCACTCTAGCAAACCCCAACCGGCCAATCGGCCCCACTGGGGATATTACAAGCCAGCACCATTTGCAACAGCCCTTCTGGTGGTGCTCTGAATTGCAGTAGAGGAACCCCTACCCGAACCCAGGCCTGACACAAAGAGACACACAAGTACACCCTGGGCAGCACCATTGACAGTCAAGCCACCTAAGCCATCCCCACCCCCACTCTTCAGCAGAGCCCGGCCCCAGCCACTCCTGAGGCCTCAACCTGGGCTTGCTGACGACAATGGGGGCGCATTTAGTCTCGCCTCTCTGCAGTTACGCGCTTCAAAGGGAAAAGGGACGTGTAGCTAACGACGGGCTGGCAGAGGGGGAGGCCGGGCGGGAGCAGGACACAGAGCACCAAAGGGAAGGGGGGGGAAGCTCCCCCCGCAAACCTCAGCTCCCGCCAGAGCCTAGACACACACGCGCCCCGCCCCAGCCGCAGCTCCCTCACCGGGCGACGGGGCCAGGAGGGGCGCAGCCGAGCACAGGGGCAGCCGCGGGGACGGGGACGGGGCCCCGCCTGGAGACTGTTGAGCAGAACGAGAAACGCCCCCGCCCCCGCGTGCCTCAGCTTCCCTCCCCCTCCGCGCCCGTCCCGCGCCCCGGGGGCCAGGAGGAGCCCGCGCGCCCTCAAGCCAGCGGCCAGGGGCTTTGCAGACCCGGGGGCTGGACCCTTCTCTGGCCCCGCGCAGTCCAGGAGCTTCCAGCCCCGGCCCCTCCGCCCGCAGGGTGGCAGCGCTCCGGGTGGCAAGAAGCCAGCCAAGGGACTCCATTGCCAGCGCTGCCCCGCGCTCGGCCGCTGCCCAGGAGACTTGGAGCTGAGCGCGGGCTTCACCCCCCCTCCAGTCCGCTGGGCTGCTCCTGGCCTTGGTTGCCTCTGGCTGCGGCCGCTGTGCAGGTCCAGGGTCTGCGGGGGCTGTCGCCGCCCCTGTCTCTGCCCCGACATGGCTGGCGAGCACAGGCTCTTGCTGGACAACGCCCAACAGCTGGTGCTCGTCTGCACCAAAGGCGAGAAGTACCTGCTGCAGGCGGGCATGCAAGACCTGGCCGTGCTGGACAATGCCAGCGTGGTGATCGGCACGTAAGTCGGCTCTGTGAGCAAAAAGAAAAGGAGGACTTGTGGCACCTTAGAGAGGAACCAATTTATTTGAGCATAAGCTCTGTGACCGTGTCCCCTGAGCCCCCGGCCAGGCTCGGACCTGAGCAGGCACCTGGCCTGATGCAGCCAGATCTGCTCTCCGTTGTCCTGGGAGCCCTCGGGTTCAGAAAATAAAGTCTGGTGCATAAAGTTCTTCCGTACCTCTTTAGAAAAGGCAAATTCTTCAGTTCTGCAGGCTCGCCTTCAATTCAGACAGCAACCCGGCATTTTGGTGTGATCAGGTGCCACAAGTGCGTTAGAATTACTGCGATTCCACTGAAAAGGAGGCTTTTTATCTGAATCCACAATAAAATTTTACTCATTGCTTGTTGCTGAAAATAAGGGAAAAAATATGTTATTCTTCGTGTTGTGGATTAACTCTGACGAGAAGAAAAACTGCGGACTGGAATCCAGAGTCTTAGCTTTTTAATCAAGGGGGATTCCAGTTGAGAAACAAAGTTACTTTGAAAAAAGAAAAGGAATACTTGTGATACCTTAGAGACTAACCAATGTATTTGAGCATAAGCTTTCATGAGCTACAGCTCACTTCATCGGATGCATACTGTGGAAAATACAGGAGATGTTTTTATACACACAAACCATGAAAAAATGGGTGTTTATCACTACAAAAGGTTTTCTCTCCCCGCACCCCACTCTCCTGCTGGTAATAGCTTATCTAAAGTGATCACTCTCCTTACAAGGTGTATGGTAATCAAGGTGGGCCATTTCCAGCACAAATCCAGGTTTTCTCCCCACCCTCCCCAACAAAGCCACTCTCCTGTTGGTAATAGCTTATCTAAAGTGATCGCTCTCCTTACAATGTGTATGATAATCAAGGTGGGCCATTTCCAGTAACCTATTTCCCCTTGTTTTGTCCTACGCCCGCCTTCCTGTTAAACCCTGGATTTGTGCTGAAAATGGCCCACCTTGATTATCATACACATTGTAAGGAGAGCGATCACTTTAGATAAGCTATAAGTGAGCTGTAGCTCACGAAAGCTCATGCTCAAATAAATTGGTTAGTCTCTAAGGTGCCACAAGTACTCCTTTTCTTTTTGCAAAGACAGACTAACACGGCTGTTACTCTGAAACCTTTAGATAAGCTATTACCAACAGGAGAGTGGCTTTGATGGGGAGGGTGGGGAGAAAACCTGGATTTGTGCTGGAAATGGCCCACCTTGATTATCATACACCTTGTAAGGAGAGTGATCACTTTAGATAAGCGATTACCAGCAGGAGAGTGGGGTGCGGGGAGAGAAAACCTTTTGTAGTGATAAACACCCATTTTTTCATGCTTTGTATAAAAACATCTTCTGTATTTTCCACAGTATGCATCCGATGAAGTGAGCTGTAGCTCACGAAAGCTTATGCTCAAATAAATTGGTTAGTCTCTAAGGTGCCACAAGTACTCCTTTGCTTTTTGCGAATACAGACTAACACGGCTGTTACTCTGAAGGTTACTTTGTTGTTTTTAAAAGACAGCCGTTGGCTTAAGTGTGCCAACACACTTGTGCCTTAAGTTGCTATGCCCAAAACTTCAGTGTCGGAGTGCTGAAGGTGAGACAGGACACACAAACTCTTTTTAAACGAGTATGCTGAAAAGTAAGGTAAATTCTGGAATAATTATTATTAAAAGTCCAGTCAGTAGCGCAGCAGGGCTCAGGCAGGCTCAGGCAGGCTCCCTGCCTGCCATCATTCCGCGCGCTGCGTGCTTCCCAGAAGCAGCGGCTTATCCCCCGCTCCAGCTCCTACACGTAGGGGCAGCAAGGGGGCTCCACGCACTGCCCTGCCACAAGCCCGAAGTCCTGGCTCTGCAGCTCCCATTGGCCAAGAACTGCAGCCAATGGGAGCTGTGGGGGCAGCACCTACAGATGGGGCAGCCTGCAGACAGGGCAGTGCACAGAGCCGCCTGGCCGCGGCTCTGCATAGGAGCCAGAGGTGGGAAATGATGCAGATTCCAGGAGCTGCTTGAGGTAAGCATTGCTGAGAGCCTGCACCCCTGATCCCCATCCTGCATCTCAACCCCCTGCCCCAGCCCTGATCCCCCTCCCACCCTCTGAACCCCTCGGTCCCAGTCCAGAGCACCCTCCTTCACCCCAAACCCCTCATTCCAAGCTCCACCCCAGAGCCCACACCCCCAGCCAGAGCCCTCAGACCCCCTCACATGCCAACCTCCTGTCCCAGCCCAGAACCCCCTCCTGCACTTCAAATCCCTCAATCCCAGCCCGGAGCCCCCTCCTGCACCCCAACCTCCATATCCCTGGCCCCACCCCAGAGCCCGCACCCACAGCCGGAACCCTCACCCCCTCCCACACCCCAACTCCCTGCCCCAGCCTGGTGAAAATGAGTGAGTGAGGGTGGGGAGAGTGAGCGACAGAGGGAGGGGGGATGGAGTGAATGGGAGCAGGGCCTCAGAGAAAGGGCGGGGCCTTGAAGGAGGGTGGGGCCGAGGGTGGGGCAGGGATTTTCCATTTTGTGCGAGTAGAAAGTTGGCAACCTTATGCAGAATTGCCCCACCACCTCCAAAGCCCCTGGAAGCCCCTCCTCTAAAGTACCACACGATTATGGGGGAGTGAAGTTCCATGGCCAGTGTTTGGCCAAGGAAAGTCTATTCTTCCGGGTATCATCCCTGTGGGAGTGAAAGCTAACCTTAAATACACCAACTCTTGCAGATTCCACTTCATGCTATTTACATCCTCCAAGGGGGCAAGTGTACCCTTCAGGTGTAGGCAGGGAGACAATGGCAGCAAGAGTCTTCTGGAGGACAAGAATGCTCTGCAGTTACTGACTGAAGGGATGCTGTACATTTGCTAACCCACAACAGTGCAATAGTTTTAGTTAGCTAAAAGAAAATAAAAACTACTGTTGATCATTAAGCATAATTAATCCCACAGTTGGACCCTCCTTCCAGATAATGTTATGGTATCCGCTCAAACTGAGTATACCCCTCTGAGGGAGGGAACCCCTTGTATTGGGAAGAGACAGGTAAGACTATTGGGGGATTTGATTATTAGAAATATAGGTAGTTGGATTTCTGAGACTGGCAAAACCACATGGTAAATTGCCTGCTGGGAGCAAACCTCTCGAGACATGTAGATAGACTTATGGGCAGTACTGAGGAGAAGTCGGTGGTCATAGTATATGTAGGCACCCATGACATAGGGAAAGGCCTGGAGGCCAAATTTAGGATGCCAGAAAACAGATTAAAGTTCAGGACCACAGTTTCTCTGAAATGCTCAGTTCCTCATGCAGGGGTAGTTAGATAGGCAGAACTTCAGGGTTTCAATGTATGGATGAGATGATGGTGTTCAAAGGAGGGATTTATGTTTATTAGGCACTGGGGAATGTTTTGGAAAAGGAGGAGCGAATACAGGAAGGATGGGATCCACATAAACCAAAACAAAATCAGACTGCTGGCATGTAAAACTAAAAAGGTAGTAGAGGAGTTTTTAAACTGAGGGCTGGGGGAAAGCTGGCAGGTGCGGAGGAGCACGCTGTTGGAACAGACACATCCCTTAAGGGAGGATTTATTGAAGGGGATATTCTATGTCCTAGTAAAGAGGAGAGGATAGAAGTTGATAAAGTACAGATAGGAACTGAAGAGAAACAGTCAAACGAAAGAGAGTCCGGTTCAATTATATCACATGAAGGCAGATAACTAAATATTGACAAATTTTATAATGCTTGTATACAAATGTGAGAAGTCTAAATACTAATATGGGTGAACTTGAGTGCCTGGTAGTAAATGAGGATAGTGACAGAATAGGCGTCTCAGAAACTTGGTGGAATGATGATGATCAATAGAACAAGGTAATATCAGAGTACAAAATATATAGGAATGACACTGTAGTTTGCAATGGTGGGGGAGTAGCACTATATATGAAAGAAAACATAGAGTCAAATATACTAAAAATCTTAAATGAATCAAAGAGTACCATAGAATCTCTTTGGCTGGAAATTCCATGCTTCAATAAAAAGAGTATAGTAGAATATACTATTGACCACCTGACGAGGATGACAACGGTGCTTGTGAAATGCTCAGATAAATTAGAGAGGCTATAAAAACAGAAAACCCAACAATAATTGGGGATTTCAACTACCCCCGTAACAACTGGGAACATGTCACCTCAGGAAGGGGTTCAAAGATAAAATTTCTGGACACTGTTAATTA